GAGTCTAGGGGAGCTGAAATGTCAGGCGCTGTTCAATTAGGCTGAGCGTAAATGTTCTGATCAAGAGACAGGAGTTGCGTTTACTAAGACTGATCAAACTGTTTGAAAAGCACCAGGTCGATGCGAAGTGAACGAGGAAGTAGGGAAAGGGGGAGGAAAGTTTATTAAATATGTCTGTCCAACTCTTTATTTTCCATGTCTTCCACTTAGAGCCATGTAGCACAGCCAGTATGTGTCAAGAATAGCAAGAGTGATTCGGTCGTTTCTGTCTATGCAGACAGTTTACTTAGTTAACGCGGTTGCACATGGACACACAGGCCCGTCTGATACTTCCTTAATGTGACTATTGCATAACTGTTGTTCCAGTATAATGAGCAGTGCTATATGTTGAATGCCTGTATAGTTGTGGTTCTGTCCAAAAGAGCAACAGACCAGAACCATAGCTTCTTTGCTTGTCACGTGTGTAGACAGAAAGTTCTCCCCATTTGTTGAGAGAAACCCAGCGATTCTATTGTGAACTCAGACACGTAGAAATTGAGAAAGACCTCTTATGGTAGGTGCATTGGAGAGGCCTAGTTGAACAAACCCCAGACTTTCCACTCGGTGGCTGGTGGTGGCTGGCGCCACCGTGACTACGTTTCTATGACTGGCCTCCTAAATACCTCAGCCCCAAGCTTGACCTCTCGCCTCGACTCCAGCTTGCTGCATCTGAACAAAATATATGGTTGTTTTTAGTTCTGTAGTGTCCCTTCCCCAATCCATAACTATCATTTACATGCGCATCACGTTGTGAGCTACCTCATGTGCTGTCTGCATGTATTTGGGTAGGAACATCCTGCTAGTATACATTTTTAGATTGTGAATACCTGTTTGCAGATCAAGGACAGTATTACCCATAGAGTAGTAGAGGGCTCCACCTGTGCTACTGGAAGTAGGGTAGATTATTTTGTGGGTGAATAGATTCTATACATTTTTTCTGGGTTCTAGTCTTGTTTACTGACATTCAACCTCTTGTGAATACTTCACCCTCTCCTGGCTGGACCTGCTCCCCTTTAACTGCCCTGTGGCTTTAATTATGGGACTCATAACCACTGGTTTAAGTAGACTTTTCCCCATCCAGCCGTCCGTGTGGGAAAAGTCAACAACGGCTTCTGTAGCTTTGAGAGGTATTCATACAAAATAACCAATAGAATCCGTTTCTTAGTGTGGACAAACACAACATTGTGCTTCATCAGATAAACTTTTCAAAGTGATCTTTCCTCAAATTCCTTTCCCTGTCTAGCTTTTTTTTAGGAAACCTATACTTTTTTACTTTAGTACACTCGAATGCTTCAACTGGAGTTCTGTAACAAAGTCACAGACAAATATGGGATTACATCATGGGTTAAATGTGGACAGATATATAGCATATTCATGCTTTGTCATGTAAAATCCATTTTAAATTGTGAGATAGCTCTTGGGTTTCTACTAGTTCTGTCTGTAACCTCCAGGGGTTCTTTCATTGTTTGCAAATAGTTGTTTTGAGCAGAAATCAGTATCAAAACAAATTTACTGGAACCTGTTAATTTACTTACATTGCATCATTAAAGTTGCTGTCAAGGCAAAGCTAGAAAATTGGCCTCTCCAAGAGAGATTAAATCTGGTGCTCTTTTTATTGTACCACTTTTTGAAAGCTTTTCCAATGTGAACGCTGTCTGACAACTAAAAAAATCTATTGCCGGGTGGGAAAATAGTTATAGATTTATTCTGAGGAGTCACAATCAAATTACTGGGTGACTGTGAAATGGAAAGTTTGTAGCTAATTTCAATAAAATTCTATGTCAAAGTATTTACGGTTCTGCGTCGTCAGAATGAATTCAAGTATTCCTTACACATATCCTAAATGTCCTCCAGCTAGCACGTATACGCTTCATTAACCTTTGTCATTTTCAACCTTTTGGCCTCATGATTTACAGTCTCTCACGCACACACACACACACACACACACACACACACACACACACATTACACTCCACCACTGATCGAGATGTTCTTTTCTGTCTATGAGTGTGAAAGGATTGACTTATCCAGTACTCATATAAAAAGTTTTATGGTAAGTTCCCAAGACCACTGCATTTTTATGAAGTACTTAGAAGTCTTTTCTCCGCCTATTGATCCAAAATCTTAATGGCCTTTTGTCATAAAAACCTTGATCTGACGAGCATGGCCATTGCCTTGGAAGCGAGTGAAAGAAAGACCCAACTTGGTGATGAATAGGTTCACTCACTTTAGTGGTCTGCATTGGCCAGTTTTGGAGGAAGAGGGCCAATTCAGGATTGATTTTGACTTCCTGGACTGAATGAAAAGTGCGATAGAGGAATGTGTCTCAGTCCTTGTTTCTATATGACAGTATTGAGTTTAGATTAAATGGTCTGTAAATGAAGCAAGACCAAAAAAAGATTTGACCTCAAATGTCTCCTATGACCACAGTCAGTCCAATACCTACAGATTTAAAATATGGTAATTGATTGTGACATTTTCCTACTAATCTATATGTGGCAAATTTGTGTTTTTCCACTCTTGTTTTATTTTAGCACGATTCTTGTCCTGTACATTAGAAAGTGTAATTGAATATTCTCATTCAAGCCCGCACAAAAGACATTTATCGGATCTCGTCCTCACATCATAATGCAACAAGTAATATTTGGAGACACTTGTGTGTGGAGCGACTGAGGAGAGGGAATACCTGCAGAATGCAAACAAGGAAAAGCCCCAATCATTTGAAACCACCATTTCCTGAACAGAATAACATTATGCAAAGTCCTCCAGCCTTATCTCTTGTTTGTTTGAGAATGAAAAGGTTAAATAAGGTCCATTTATTTCCCAGAATAAAACCATACAGGCCTTTTGCATCAGAACTGTAGCAATCTCCATATAGATGTCAACCAGGTCTATTAATCTTCTCATTCCGATGTATAGTACAAAGTGCATGCTGAATCCTATATGTATACTTCGTGCCTGTGATATATCAGTCAATAATAAGGTTGTTCACTCTTCCAGCTGAGTTGCAGTTCAATGTGATCACAATGTTGATTGCAATATGTAGTTCAGACACTTTGAGTACATTTGATTGAATCGGTCAGCATGTGGCTCACGTATGTGGCATTAAATCTACCCTTTGGAATCGATGGACTGGTCTTAGTGGGAACTGCTGTTACCCAAGTGAGTGCTGACAAATGACTCACTGGCATGAGAGACCAGAACCACTTTACTGTACGGTGCCATACTGAGAATATTGAATCTGAGAGTAGTGTATTCTCTTAGTCCTGGCTGTCCGTTGACATAATGGCCCCAAAGGGATTGGCATGCCAAACGCCATCCTTACAGCACATGTAAGCCTCAGTGCGATGCAGGGTCAATACTTCAGGGCCGACTCAAAACAAGCCATACATTTATTACATTAAACCTAACAAGTTCACATGAGTAGCCAGTTTCCCTTTCATTTAAACAATGACTGCACTAAGCTTATTTTCCTAATACAATTTGAATCACTCCTCAGTGACTATTAAGCCTATTGGGGAGACTAAAAATAAAAGTTGCTTGCTATCCCTTTTGTCTTTTATGAGCTGATTGCTATTCATCTGTATGTTGTTCTTTGTCAACGTGCATCTTTAATGATCACACCATGGGCATTATTTTTCCAGCACAAGTATAGACTTTGCTAAAGACATGAGCATGCAATGTCATGAAGTATCAAATCCACACAGCCACAAGCGTGCCTCTGTGCCACTGCACTCTCCTAATGATGAGAGCTCTTGTGTGTCTCTGACGTCCACTGATTCAATTATATTTGCATTTGATTATCTAGGGATTTCTTTCTGATCTTGTGACTTTTCTTCTGGGGACTGTTCTGGAAATAATAAAATATAGAAGCTCTTGGGAAATTATTGCGTTCAAGGCTTGAATGAGCATAGGCGGAGAGAATGAAGGGAGATGTGAAATGAGAATGATGAACCGGAATTCCAATTAAGCACATACACACATACAGTATAACCACTGTGTTATTTTATTAGCCAGGTGTTATGTTGGACATACGAGGAAATTGTCATGGTGGGTGGTGCTTACATGGAGAATATGGTACAATTAAATTAACAATAGAATATTATTAATTTAATAAAATAAGGATATAAAATAAGATTTAAAAAAACAAACTGCACAGGAAAACCGATAGCAATGAAATTGAAGGTGTGCAAAGGTGTTTTGAGTAGAGTCAGTCAGTTGGGGACCCGGGCTCTGGACTGTCCCACTGTCCATCAAATCTACAGTAGAACTCATTCGGCTTGTCTGCCAGGCAGCGGTCATTCGTGTAGTGGAGGGGTTCAGGCTTGTGATTTGTGATCTGTCGGGGGCTCCCCAAACAGAAGCAGAGTCACTTGCTGAGAGCGGGTGACGCCCTTTCTCTGAGTACACACGTTTAGCATCTCTCACCGCCTTACTTAACCTGTATTTTGCCGCTGTGTACAAATCCTTGTCCCCACGTGCATGATCCTTCTAGTAGCTTTCGGAGCTCTGCTGTAAACCAGGGTTTGTCGTTGTTATAACTCACCTTGGTGCAAGTCACAGCCCCTAGGAACCCATCCAGACTGTACCAGTCCTGAAAACATCCAAGTCTGTGCAGTCCAAGCACGCCTGAAGATCTGCTCCACTTCTTAAATTCCCTCACCACGGGTTTGCAAAACTTTAATTTCTGCCTATGCAGGAATCACATGGATCAGAGTGTCCCAGCGCAGCAAGAATGACAGCGTGATAGGCCCCTATCGCGCCATATATATCACAAATTATTATTTTAGATGTGGCATCATCAGTGGAAAACTGTGGAAGACAATCTGCAGCCATTATTGTAATAATACTCTTTACATCTCCGATATGTAATGAGTGTTGACTGACTTGCCTCTTTGTATTTGTCCTCCTGAGAGGAGCTCCATATTGTCGCTAATCTCTCGTCCTTCCCTTATCTTCAGATCATGCTGCTGACTGATCCGGAGGTCGAGAGCAGCCTCCTCATCAGCTCTGATGAAGGCGCTACCTACCAGAAATACCGGCTGAGCTTCTACATCCTAAGCCTGCTCTTCCACCCCGAGCAGGAGGACTGGATTCTGGCCTACAGCCACGACCAAAAGGTAAGAGCAGCAGGCAGCCGCTCCAAGGGATCAAAAAAAGCTGAGTCAGATTAAAGCTTAAGAGGTGTCACACCTCCCAGTCATTTCCTGTGTCCATATGGATTGTAAAATATCTTACTAAATCTAAAGTTTTACTTTGTACATTAAAAAATCATTAATAAGGCAACAGCATGCCAAGTGAAAATGGCTAGCAACTTAAATTCAAAGTTATAAGATTCTAAATTTGAGGCAGCCAGAAGAGTTCAGTCCTGGTGGATTTTGTGGTGAAAATAAGTGTGTTTGAACACTGAACTGTGTCTGCGTGGGTTCTCCCCGGGTACTGCACATTCTTCCCACAGTCCAAAAACATCCTCTGGGGATCAGGTTAATCGGTGACTCTAAATTGCCCGTAGGTGTGTGGATGTAAGTGTGAAAGGTTATATGTCATGTGTCAGCCCTACAACTGGCTGGGGAACAATCAATGGTGTACCCCGTCTCTCGCCTGATGTTAGCTGGCATTGACTCCAGCGACCCCGTATGAAGGATAAACGGCTTTGAAGATGGAAAAATGGATTGATGGATGGACACGTGCCAGACAAATAGCAACTGTTGTTTTGTTGTTAAAATGGATTTTAAATGAAAGACAGAAATGCATGTATTCATCAACTCCTGACTATTGACTGTTTTATACAAAAAGTCATCTCAGTTGAATGCTTTTAACGTGAACCTGTCGCCCACCCATTCAGTAATGTGAATTGACATTGTTTCATCATTGGACGTCTCAATGGCCATTGTGTTACCTGACCTGGTGGTAGGCAGTGACTTACAGCAGCACAGTAGTATTTAGTGGTATCCAGTGGACGGTTGCACATTGCATTAACTCCTCCTTTTCTTCGGCAGCCGAACGACTCTCTCTTCAGGCAGCTTTATGTGTGTCCCTTCTGGACCACTGGAGAGAGAAGGCGGTGCAACCTGAATAGGACGCTAGTCCTATGTAGATATGAAGGGATCATCCCATGCTGATGAATTAGTTCTTCTTTCAAGAACAATGTATTACTTATCTCTAAGTTAAAGAACACTAACATAAAACATTAGGTTAATGAATATTTTGAATTCAATTTGAGATTGTAGTAATGAGACATTTACTTATAGCTGACTTTCTGGTCTAATTCATAATCTTCTTACTTATTCTATGATCACATGACTTTTTCATGAAGTCGAAGGTAGATTGTGCAGTTTTGTTTTGACTTCAAAACAAGACCCTTCAAATCCTTTTGCAGAAAAGCGCTTCGGCCCCTTTCAAAGTAAAGTATCAAATCAATGGTGATTTGATGCCTTCACTGACAGTCTTGTAAATTTCAAACGCAGCAAAATTATTGCTCGGTCAAATTTCTCATCATAAACTATCCCTTCACAATCCAGTTACCTGGCTAGAGCTTAGAGGCACAGTGCAAATAAATAATCATCTATGGACGCGGTGCACGATGTGCAAACATCAACGTGACAGCGAGAGAGGTCAAATTTACACACATTTTAAAATAACCCTTTGCATTAATGAAGTGGTTTCCTGCCGCTCAGCCTATTTGGGTCTAATGTTTCAGATGTGATGAACAATGAAGGCATCCTCCTGGCTGATGTGTGTGTGAATGAGGGATAATACTCTGTAGAATGTAAGTAAGAGTCAGAAAGCCATGAATGCCATTTTCAAGTTTCAGCCCTTTTTTATTTCATTTTTATCTTTTTTGAAATTTAACTTAGGCTAAATGACTCTGACTGAATGCTGAGCGTAAATATATATAATCTAAATAAGGTTTTGGGCTTTCAAACCTCTCTTAAATGGAAATCATAAACCACTAACGTGATGGGGTTTACGGGTTTAAGGCTGCATAAATCATCACAGAATGCTTCTACATTAAAAGAATAATCTTTAATCCTGCAATGGAACCTGGCAGAGTTTTGTAGTGTAACTGCTTTCCTCTTTCCCTCTTATTCTCTGTGGATTTGACACAGAATTCAAAATAGGACAGTGGGTCTACACTGAGGAAGCTCTCCACAGACCTTCTTTCTTCTCCTGTCAACTTTCTATGAACTTTCACTGTAAACATCCCAAAGAAATATCATCAAATTGTATTAAAGAGGTTACAGAGAGTGATGGAGTTAAATTGAAGTTGACCTCTAATTTTGTCTAATCCCATCAGAGACAAATCCCATCTGAGTAATTGTTGAATTGTGCTCCTTCAAAACTCAGCAGCATAGTTCAGCATCGCACTAAGCCTTTCAGTTATGAGCAGTTCAGGGTTGATGATCAGGAGGCTGCTCTCCACCTCCAGATCAGCCTCAAGGAAGAGGAATCAGGAAACATTTATTACCAAAGTATGTCAGACATACAAGGAATTTGACTTGGCGATTAGTGCAACAACAGACAGTTAGACAATGGACAACAAGACAGATAAGACGACATAGTGCAAGAGGAATAAAATAAGATATTATGCTGGGATAGTATATAAGGCTATCTGTTACGGAATAAAGTTTTAAAAATATTAAAAAGTCAAAAAATGATGAGAGATAAGCGACAATATGGAGCTCCTCTCAGAAGGAAAAAGACAAATAGAGGTTGATCAAATAGCGGCAGAGGCCGCATGTCTTAGACCAGTCATCTATCAATCAAACAAAGTTGGTGGAAAGACACGTTGTATATAATAAAGCCTCTGGGCACCAAAAGAGGATACATTAAGGACTGCTCTTGTAGAACCCCTAAAATATCCAAAGATGAATTATGTTGTATGAATAGTTATGCTGGTGTATTCAGTCATAATGCTGTTATCACATTAGTTTACTGCTAAGTAATACACATTTATACATCTACAACTAGTAAGGCTCTTATACTTTTAGTAAGAAGAGCTGTTTTTAGATCCATTCAATCATCTCATGATCATCTTAATGATAATAAAGTTGTACCCATGGAGTAAATACCACATTTAAACTGATCTGGCCACTGTTTGGGCCACTGTGACGGTTTTATTAAAGTAGATGCGATAATGGTCCTGATGATTCTTATCAACATAAAGGATTTACAGCCCGCGTACACATTGCACCAACAGAATACTTTGCTGTTGAAGTCCCGTTGATGAACGGAGTTGACATGAAATGCATGATGATGCTGTTTTCATTATTCGCAGTGAAGGTTTAGGTTGTTTCTCCAGTCTGTCTTTTCATTCACACTTATAACTGGTTTAGTCGGACTGAAATCGAATTATCGTTTCATGTAAACACCTTTGTCCGACTATGTACGATCTGACTAACACCCCTGGATAACTCGATCCGATCCACAGTTGATAGTTTGACTATTGCGGCATGTAACGGTGAATCGGATAAGGAACTGGACTTTGCTTCTTTGCGCGTGCTTGAGATCCCGACGGCGTCTTCTCTCCGTTATCAAATCAGCCAATAGCGCCATTCGCATTCGCTGTGCTCCTATTAACATCATGCACAGATAGTAGAGGGATGTAGCTTCACCTTGCTCTCCGTTCGCCATCTTTCTCGTAATGTTGATGTTGTTGTTGTTGGTTGTTGTTGGTAGTGGTGAAGGGGTCAAGCGGAAATGGCTGTATCACAACTAGTTGTAATGAAAACAGCGCCACCTATCGTATCGGATATGACATGCTTTCGGCCAATGATTCGATTTATTCACTGCCACGTATATTGGGATAATAGCACTTGCCCCGAAAGATAGCATAGTCCGACTAAGCAAAGATTTGAATTATACCATCATGTAAACACACTGAATGACTGAGCTCTTTGACGATGTGTCAAGAAATACAAATCATTAACAGTGACTTAACGCTGGAGCTCCGGCTTCAGGAGCCAATGAGTTCTTGGCTGAGTGGTCACTCCCGTTACGTCGGGGGCCATTTTGCTCCTATCAATGCACCCCCTCCCCAAAATTGCTTCTCTTTCACTTTCCTCACCTCAGTCTGGCAGCGCTCCTGCATTTGTTGATTGAGAGACATTTGGAGGTTGTAACATCTATGTTGACCCCCCCCCACCCCCATCCCTCACCTTCCCCGCCTCCTGCTCTTTGCTTCTTCACTGTCATTTGCTTGGCTTAATACTAACTTGCTGCGGGAGGGTAATTAGGCAAAGTGATTCCGTGCACCGCTCCCCCACCTCACCCCCTTTTCGCTTGCATCTCCTTAGCAAAGCCAGGCAGAGACGTCATGGTAATGTCATCCCCTGTGCCATGTGGCGCCCCCTCTTTGACATGTAAATACACACACATCAGCTGCTGTAGTCACACTGAACATGTAGTTTGCATATGCTCTCTATAGAGCGATCCAATGAAGCGGATATGAGGAAGGGGGAAAAATATATGTGTGTCACGTTATGTCAAGAATGCAATACCCTTATCATAAGGGAATATACATTCCTAAATATATAATGTGTAACATTTTTGGCAGTACAATTTCTACAAACATATAGATCAATGCTATATATTTAAAACGGTTTTCCACCATGACAAATCTGTTATATGAGGCAATACGGTGTGTTGTTGTAACTGAAGCCCCACATGCATCCCAAGATTATTGCTTTTGCCCAAGATTATTTTAAAGACTAAATGTGTGCTTAGGGTGCAACCAATGCAAAGTGAGGAAGGACCAACCCAGCGTGCTGTATAAAGGGCAATGATGCTCCCGAAGCTAAATTCAGTGACACACTGTATGTCATAGCTGAGTGATACAGGGGGTCAAGTTAGGACAAGACAAAGCAAAGCTGTTATTACTATTGACAAATTGGTCTGAGCCAGTAGCTGAGCTTTTAGGATGCCATGGACCAACCTGTACAGGTGAGCCATTGTGAGTGTAAGCATTTTTGTGAGTAGGTCATTATAGCATCATTTGGGGGAGACGTCACCAAACTCTCTCTCTTCATCATTTTTTTTAATTAAGAGACTGCTAGCAGCAGGCGTCTCTTAGTTAAAACATCGACAAAAATATTAAAAAGCATATTTAAGTGATCAATAGTTAATTCAAAGAATATGCAGGAGGCTTTTCAACTCCACATCCAGAAATAGATGCAAGTATTGGGCTATATGTTGGCTAATTGATGGTTCTTCGCACAGTTTGCATGGTTGATCATGCTTGATATGGAGAATGTTAAGCTCAAACCAGCGGAATACATTTTATGCTTCATTCCTCCAGAGTTAACACGTTTCTCAAAGGATACGCGCTGTGTGTGGAGACACAAACGGACTTCAGTGAGTTCAATGAGTTGCTTATTTACTTTTGGGGCGTTAGGCGTTGCCGTTTCTACTTTCGGCTGTCAAACAAAACATTTTTGTGGGAAGATTATTTAGCCCAAACCATATTTTTTTCCCGACTTTCGTCTCAGCTCGCCTGTTAAAACAATACTCACTTACCTCTTGTACAGCAGCCTTGCAAATAGCTTTTACGTGACTAGTTTAATTAAGGGATATCTATCTCCAAACCAATAAACGCTGTGTGATTGGAGTTTTTTGAGCTGCTCTTTGCGTCCTAAAAGTATATTTAAAGCTTCATTATTGTGAATTGTGACTCAATACCAAGAAAAAAAGTGTTTAATTTATTTAGGTGAACCAACGCTTTAATATCGACTCAATTAATTTGTCTAGTCAAAAAGTTCAGTTTTCCTCTCACCCCGACAGACCCATTGTTAGCCTGGTGGCCGTTGTGTGTGTGTGTGTGTGTGTACACAGGTTTCTGAAGTAATAGAAAGTTGTGTTGGAAATACTTCACTAAACATCCCGAAGCTCTGTTATTCCTCCGCTGTGTTTGTGTTTGTTAAGACAAATGAATTCTTACTGTGCCTGGTTGTCTTGTTCCAGCTCTACAGCTCGGTGGAATTTGGGAGAAGGTGGCAAGTGGTGCACGAGAGAGTGGCCCCCAACCGCTTCTACTGGTAAGTTCAGATTTGGACATTGACAAACACTTTTTAGGCAATAGAAAATGATTAACTTAATTTAACTTCATCGACATTCTAGCACTGCTTTGTTCTCCTCTGGTAACTTTAAATGAATTGTTTTATATAAATTAAAATCTACTCTATTATTGGTAAGCTACATATTCTTTAATGCAGTAAAGCACAAGCTAATGCACTTTAATGAAAGTAAAGCATGAAGCATGATGTTGCTTTTTGTTTCTGTCCGACCAAGATTTAGTCTTTAGTCAGAATGGAAAGTATTTCTACTTTAGTAATTGACTAACTAGTAACCGACTTAGCTACTATTATACCAAAATGTTACCAATTTAGTATGTGTATTTCTTAAACTGTCAACGCCTTAGTTTCCACATGTCTAAGAAATGGGGGGTATTTGATGAGTTGAAAGTGTGAACAGATTAACTGAACATTTCAAAATAAATGGTCCAAAACTGGGGCCGCCAAGGAGGGCCGTGGCCATTGAGAAACAATCACTGGAAGGACATATTGATCTGGCTTTCAATTACTTTCTGAACAAGCACAGCAGAAAAGCCCCTTTGGCCACACTAAGTATACATGTCTTGGGAGGCAACTACGCTCCAAATGGCATTATGTTTATTGATAACGGCTGCATAGTTACCCAAACATGAAGAATATGAGAACAAAACTGGTTTCAATACAAAAGGAATGAACTTTTGTTCTAAATTGAAGTGACAGGGGGGGATATCACAATAACAATGTAATAACTGCACAGATGCAATTATGTAAGAGGTGCTGGATTATTTAATTATTTCATAAACTTCTAGACCCACTAATACATTAATTCAAGGAAACAACATTTGTGTGACGACTTTTCAGTAAACTTCACAAGGGTTCTGAAGACGTCTCTGGTTCTTAACAAAGTGAGAAGCCGATGAGCCAGAGAGCTTTTTAATATTTTAATTATTTATGTGCCTGGAATTCTTGATCTTCCTCTGTGGCAGACATTATGTGACCAGATGTGTTCAGTTTGTAACACTCTCCTTTGAACACCACTTCGTCCTCTCGTTTTTGTGATTATTTATTTTCCGCCCATGTTGTTGTTGTTTGTTAATTGGAAATGCATTAATTGGGTCATGGTGCGCCCCGGACCACCTTGTGGTTTGGACAACTGCATCCCAATGCGAGAATTAACTTCCACGTGTTCAAGAACCACTGATCAGCCAAAACACGTTGAACACGAGGTCAAGTTGTGAAGTTTGAATGGTTTAGATTTGTTCAGATAAAGACTTTTCCAACTTTAGTTTCTCTGCTGTATAGGGCTGCATGATTATTGCTCAAATGAAGACACAAAGGATTTCAATCAACAGCTACATTGGGGATTAAATAAATAGACCAATGCTTTCACCTCCATACTTTATTATATTCCTACTGTTTTGTGATATATAAATATACAGAAAGAAGTGAAGGAATATTTACCTTGAAGTCAAACGCGGAGCAGTTTGAGAGCAAAATTAAAAGCCTTAATGAACAATTTAATGGGGAAGTCCACCTATGTGTCCTTGGGGAAGACAATTAACCCAGAGGCCGTTCCTGCAGCGTATGAATGGGTGTGAATGGCTAGTTGTCCTGATGGGTGGGATCTCATTGCATGGTCGCTCGTGCCATTAGTGTATGAATGAGTGTTAATAGGTGTGATGACACATAGTGTTACAGCGCTTTGAGTGGTGGAGAGACCATAAAAGCACTATACAAGTACAACTCTGTTCATCATTTACCAATAGTTGGAAGCCAAGATTGCAATTAATGTTCGATTTATTGTGGACATCAGTGGTATCCAGCATGTCTGTCTTCTACACAGTCACTTACTGTAACAAACTGCTTTTACCTCCCCAGGCTGTCGGGGTGGTAACAGGGGGCAGGCTCCCTTCAGCCGGGAGTGAAGGGTGCCTGCAGGGCTGATGCTGCGGAGGCTGTCAAGAGTTTTATTTGTGGGACGCGCACTGCGCCGAAGGTGTGCAGGTGGCCCTGTTAATGAGCCATGTAGAGGAGATGTAGACTTGTCAGCTCATCCACGTGAGCGTTGATCGGTCACACGGCCGGTGTACATTTGAATAAACTGCATTCTACATCCCTCCGCATTCAGCTATGATCACTTTGTGAGCTTAGCTGGTGGAGCCGTGAACTGTTTTGCAAATGACATCACCAATCGCTGCATAAACATCTGGAGCTGCCTGAAACAGCTCAGCGCTGGGTTGGATGGTAAGTGTCCTCAGAGACAACACAGCTGTATGAGCTGGATGTGCACAGAGCTTTGCCTCCCTTTGCTTAGTGCGCAAGATATACAAGTTTAAACAACGATGCTTCACTAACTAGAAGAGTTTTTTTTTTGACTGGCTCACACGGTTCTTAGGTAGTTAAATGGATTGTTCAGTGAAAATGGAAATGGGGTTTGGATGAGAAGACCATCCTATTCACAGTTGTGTGTCATCGGTGAAACAATAAAACCAAAACATCCAACACTATGGTGGTCTACTTTCCCTCCCACAGAACCACTTTATCTCGCTCTCCACTGATGTGTGTGCTGCCTGTGGACACCTTTTCTTTTTCTCTTCCATCTCCTTCTCCCTCTCCACATCCCTGTTCTCCCTCCATGTGTGTGCTGTGTTAGCTTCTCCTGTGATCCCGCAGTCTTTTTAATACATATTTAATGCCCTAATGATTATATGCTATTCCATCTGCGGACATCCCTGTAGAGGGAATCAATGGCTTTTCCTCTTCTAATGATGCCAGGAAACGTCTTTGTCCAACTGTCTGGGAGGTGGGGGAGACACAGTAAACCTGAGTTGCTCTTTCCTACACTTTAGACAGGCATCCACAATGAAGACAAAGACTCAGCAATTCCTGCACCCAACTGTTGGTGTTTACCGGCACATGATTCTGTGTAGTTCTACTTTTGTACGACTTAACAGCGTGTATTTATCAGGCCAGACAGCCACAGCAGTTGCTGGTATCGGCCCGAATGCGGAAGACCAATGGTTACGTTCCAGAAACACATTTGTCTTTCTTTCAGGTCCAAAATGGGTTTGGATAAGGAGCCGGGCTTAATTCACCTGGAAGCCAGCGTTTCTGAAGGACGTGAGTAATTGGCGCTCTGTTTTCTCCTGTCTTTCTTCTATATGAGCATTGTGCTTAAGTGGAGAGGGATGGGGAGTTTGTGTGGACAAATCTGCTGAAGAGTAATGTCTGGAAATGGCCGAGACTTGTGACTGACAATGGCAATGAATTAAAAAAGTGACTTTAAAACTTCACTAAGCTAAATCAATTGCTTTATAGAGAACGCTAAACGAATGACAATCAAATCCAACTTAGTCTGGTATCAGAATCCTCTATAAACATGTAATTTACTCCATTATTTATTTGTTGTATTAAATAATACCATATTAGTTGTCTGTCAGCACAACTTGCAACTTTCTGGATTCATTAATCTGCTATGAATATGACAAACTTCAATATGACTGTTAAAATTTACCCCTCCCTCAGGCAGTGGCTACAAACACACAGCTGAATGAAGCATACAGTATGAATACAGCAGCAAGCGTCAGGGCAATCTTCCTTATCACCAGCGGAAATGCGTCATAACTTTTTGGAAAAAGACAAAAAGAGGAAAAAATCCTAGTTCAATTTACATTTATTTACTCGGAACGCATTACAGGGAATCAAGACGTCTACGACATTAATTCCTTTACACATGCAGACCTTCAAGATGTAAACGTCGCTAAGACAATATCAAATGTCTCTTGGTTTCAGCAGTTTAAAATTAAATGTTTGTATAGAACCACATTAGTGTTACCATGGCGGACATGGAGCAGTACAAGTAATGGCAAATGGTAAATGGACTGTACTTGTATAGCGCTTTTCTAGTCTTCCGACCACTCAAAGTGCTTTAACACTACATGACATAATTCACCCATTCACACCCTTTCATACGCTGATGACAGGAGAACCACACACAGTGACACCTGCCCATCAGTAACTACCAATCATACACTGTAGTCACAGCTACAGGAGCAATGTTGTGCCCAAGGACACAACGACGTGCGGGTCAGCCGGGCCTGGGATCGAACCGACAACCCTCTGATTGGAGGATGACCGTGCTCCCCACTCACCCACAGTCGCCCACAAGTGTGTACGGAATAATGTCAACAGAAAGTATCTTACTGCAGCCTCTGCTGTCTGATATTCCACTTTTAAAAATTCCTTTATCTATGTCCAGTTCAGTGCATGTGCCCCAAAACCCCAAAGTATTTGTCCCCCCTCTCCATCAGCACCCTTTGGCTTTTCTCTATTGTCTTTGTCCTCAATCATACATAAAACACATAACAAACATGAGTAAATGTTGCAGTCGCAGAGCCACATACTATTGATCATGTGCTTCACAACGAAGCTGACATTTATTTGGCGGCGGCTAACATGCGGTGCTCTCCGCCGGCGCCGCGACTGAAGGCAAAGAAAGCAATTGGCCTCAGTGGTCATCTGTCTCCCGCTCTGACTGCAACCACTTTATTGACACAAGTAACGCAGGAAGCCAAAGAGCTCAGCTTCCTTTCTCCACTGGCTGATGCAGTTGCTGATACCAGGATTTGATGTTTGTGTGTGTGTGTGTGTGTCTTTACGCCTGGGAGCAGAGGCGCTGTATGTCACCTGCAAGCTACAGAACTGCACCGATGCCAACAAGGGGAAACCGTTCCCCGGCTACATTGACCCCAACTCTCTGGTTGTGCAAGATGAGTATGTGTTTGTCCAGGTGGGTAGTTCTCCAGTTTGCTAAGTAAAAAACATTTTTCAAGGTCAAGGTCAAGTTGTATGTTGTGCAGCTGTGTGGCTCCCTGTGGTATCATCTGTATTTTATTCTACATGTCTCCAAAGTGTCACTCAACAAATTCCTCACCTGTAGGTGTCAACCGCCGGGAGGCCGATCTACTATGTGTCTGCTAAAAGGGATGTCTTTACACCAATGAAGCTGCCCAAGTACACACTGCCCAAGGTAACAAATAATTTGCCAATCTAAATTCAGTTCACTAAATGCCACGATATCTTCAATCAACCGCCTGATTAAACTGTTATTACTTGGTCAAATGGTAGTTACTAGTTACTGTTGATTATTATACGACATGAGCAATGGAAGAAGTCCTTTCACAAACGTATTTAACTATTTGTGTTTAGAGGAGGATGGATAGATGGGTCAACAAACAGAAGACTTTCACCCAGAGGACAGATGTTTGTGTCCCATTTGAAAGCTAGAGTCACTGTTGACTTAATTTACGGTACTTTTGTCATGAATCATATATCTAACAATCATAACGTACTTAAGTTTTGTGACAAAGATACTCCTTTTAATCCAGGCTACAATATTTTAAGTATTAGCTTTGTTGACTAAACCATCTGAAGCATTAGAAGGGCGATAACAATTGATCACGTCTGTTCAATCGTCTGGCAAAATTCTTATTGTGTGATTAAAAATAAAATAATTCATCCATTGTAAGAGTTCATATCGTATCATAGGTAAACAATGGCGCCCCTTGTGGTTTTGTAGTTTTCAGCATTTAAAAAAGCAGGTATTACGCTGTCAGCTCTTTTTGGTCCCGAGCTGCAGTAAGACGTCAGTTCATCGCCGGCTCTGCATCACATTCTCTTTTAGTTATTTATGGGCAAATCAAGGCCAAAAGTGACTCACAGTGGTTTCCGCAATTGTTATTCTGCGCTACTCTGTGCACGCATGGCCTCACTTGTCACATCCCTATTGACAATTAGACATGTTTTATTCAATCAAGCCCAGGGCGCCCCGGTTGCTGTCGGCTCATTGCAAGGTGTTATTGGCACGGCCAGAGGTAGATGAAGCACACAGCCAAACAGCACGGCCACCGCTGCATAATATCTGCCCAATAGACCTGACGTAGTGATATTCATTCTACTATCCTCTCAATAAAATAGGTGAATACAGAGGAAGGAACAATTCAGATTTTATATAAATGCAGCAAGGGTATAAAAAGACAATACAATCTAGACATGTAAGACAACAACAGTGAACATAAATTGACAAAAAGCACTTCTTTTAGACCTAAAAAGAAGAATATTACTTTACACTTGACCTTTGGGTCAAATTGTAGATTCCTACCTATGGAACTGATGATCTGAAAGAGGAAGTTAATATTAATCCCTAATACAGAGTATTATGTATCATTCTGGTGTTAACTTTGCCTCTCTGTCAGGACCTGCATGTGATCAGTACGGATGAAAACCGAGTGGTAGCAGCGGTTCAGGAGTGGAACCAGAACGAGACCTACAACCTGTACGTGTCGGACACATCTGGGGTGTACTATACTCTGGCTTTGGAGAACGTGGTCAGCAGCATGGGCCATGAGGGCAACGTCATGGTTGACCTCTACGAGGTAAACATCCATCCTTCCACCCATCCTTCCTTCCAACCGCCCTTCCTTCCATCCATCTGCTGCTCCACGTCCTCTTTGCCACAACGGTACGGTACAATGCCAGTATTACTGCTGGTGCCACCTCAAATCTTAGGCTCAGTTTTACCCTCAGCGGTGAACAAGAGCCCAGAGTTTTAGGCCCTGGTATCCTAGCAGGATATATATGAATTGGGATGAATGAGTGATTCATTTCCCGAAGCCAATATCTCAGGGTCTTCTTTAAATGTGGTCATCAAGTATCATGCTTTGCTGGAAGTTCAATTCTTTCACTTTAAATGGCTTTATTGGCATGACTGGTCACGGTACATTTAGCCAAAGCATATTTATGTTGAAAAGTATTAAAATCTATAATAATCTAAGCAGGGGAGTTCAGACATTTTACTCTGTCCTTTAGTAGTTGTGTTTAACTGTGTATGGTGGTTGAGTCTAAATGCTGGTACGTTGAGTTCCTATTGGCCCTGGCATATTGGCGGAGCGGGTTCCTGAGCTCAGCCACAATACCTGCTGATCTGCAGGGCTTGGTAATGATATGGGCGAGGGAGTCATTACCTTTTACCCCCATTCAATTTTCTAAATGAATGTTATTTTTGCATGTTTAGTAATATTGGAGAGGGAGCCTTGTTCAATGCCCACAGATGGCCAGTAAACATTGATTTAACAATATTTATATTTGAAGAACGATAAAACCATCTTTTTTTGTTAAAATTAAATAATTAAAGTACTAAACAGGACAAGTCTGCCATGTGACTTCCAATAACTTTGTGGAACAGCCCTGTGTACCAGATAGAAGCTAGTTTACATGTATGGTAAACAAGTATGTGCGGTGTAGCTGTGTAACGTTTTTTAATAAATCCAATGTTATTGAAGACATCATGCTTGCTGAGGAATTTCAAAAGTGTGGCATTCATGAAACTATAGAAAACCACTTTGTTTTAGTCGGTGTAAACTGGGGTTTTGAGTCCATCCACAAGTCAGCAAAGTAGTTTAAACTCCTAAGCAAATTAATTAGTTTCAATATGTTTTTTTGGTATTTCTAGTTTGTGGGTTTGATTATTTGTCAGGCCTGCATCTGCTTTTTAGATTCAAGGGCCTGTATTTTAAGAACCTCTTACTCAGTATCTGGGGATTCTGATGGATTTTGGTCCTTTTAGAGCCAGTTTACAACTTTGCATGAACACATTGCTGTGTTTGAGTTGATTTGAATATAGGAGCAGAGTGTTTTAAACTGAGTCTTCCCGTGGCCAATTACCTAAAATGTCTCCTTTCATTAATTGGATTGAATGAATGTGTTTTCATTATGAGCAGGTTAGCCTGGACCAGCCCTCAGATAAGCTGCTATGGGTCTAGACTGCCGGGGGACTTCTTAGGACACACCAAGCTCCTCTCTCCTGTCCATATCCCCTTGTTGTATAGATAAAAGTCCCATACATCGGAAATGATTCCCTCATCCAGATCCTCCAGATTAGTTTACGTTTATGTCATGTCTCGTTGGTTCAGAGTCCATTTGACCTTGGGGGGCCTCTACATAGCGGTCCTGGTGTGGTGGAGGTGACTCCTTTTTTGGGGACTTTGCTTCAGTTATCCACGTACTGCACACAGGTCCCCCCTAACCTTCTCCACCAAGTCTTCAGTATTCATTTGGCCATTTCCTTTTTTAGGTAACACTAACAAATAAAGGCCTGCTTGATGAGAGCCCAGCCCACAATTTTATTATGACCACCGATCAATATTTTAGAGCTATGAGGCAGAGATGATGTTTTGTCATTCTGGAAACAGCCCTTGCTGCTGTAGGCCAACCGTCTTCAGAGCACATTGTGTGAATACAAAGTAGTTTCAAAGTGCTGACATCAACAAGGCAAGAGGGGACTGTGCCAGGGATATAGATTTTTTTGAGGCTGAGATTATTTCTTTCTTTGATGAATAACTGCAGATATTACTTTGCAAAATGCACCTAATCCAAAGAGGAAAAGAAGTGTAGGGGGTAAGGTTTAGGCTTTGGTACGTATGCATGCATAGCTTTTAGAGCCACAGCGGCACAAAACATCTGCCAAAATATCTGAATCAGATAAGTAAGCACTTGATGATTCAACTGTCTTACTTTGGCCTCCGCGAGATAATTAAATCTGCTGTCTGATTGGGGTCGCCACCTAATACCTAGGATATGCTAAATCGCTATTCCAAGGGAGATTGAAGTATCTGTCATTACCAAAGTGAGCTTTCATCGCCTGATGTGACTGTCACTGACTCAGTTTAGGGAGTCAGATTCATTTAAGGGACACTGTGATGACTCAAAAGTCCCCCAGACAGTCAATCGTTTCCACTCAGTGTTTGGTTCTGTTTGGAATACAGAAAAAGAAGGTATATTTTCTACAACATGACTGAGATATAGACATACACTAATAAAAACTCTTTTTTTTCAATTTTCAGTTGAGTTGTTCTCTTTCTTATTGCCCAGGTAGCAGGAATAAAGGGGATGTTCCTCGCCAACAAAAAGACGGATAACCAAGTAAAGACGCACATCACCTACAACAGAGGCAGAGACTGGAGTTTGCTGCAGGCGCCGAGCAAAGATCTGAAGGGCAACAGCATTCACTGCGTGCTAGTAAGTGTCTGTGTGTCTGCAGGCCCTCTGCCACGTTCATACGTGCTTTCGCCAGTGTGTGCGCTTCCGTCAAAGAGAGGCCTTGACAGGAGTTGACTGATCCCAGCAGCAATGAGAGAGGCCGAGCTCAGAAAGAGCAGCTCACGTCAAAGCTGAGTGCTCTGAGGCTGCTGAGCTGAAAGGTCAGCCATTTTGATTCAGTCCAATAAGCCATTAAAAAACCAAGACAAAGAGGTGTCGGACAGAAAGGGAGACTTTTCCTTTTTCCGGAAAGACCTTGAGAGTTGTTTCTTATAGTCTAGTCTAGCTATCACTCAAAGACCAAGGTTGGCCTGTTTAGAGTAAAGAATCTAACCGCATACCTCTTTAACAACGGATTCTGTTTTGTTGCTGAAACCACTACCACCCACGTCCACCTCCCTCTTCTCTACTATTCTGTGTGCATGAATGAGAAGAAGAAGGTTTGTGTCTCTGCTGCACATATTCTTGTAGCATTGGAAAAGTACAGATAAACCAATTGGTTATTCTGTGACATGCCTCGCCTTCTATCCATATTATACAGTCATTTGTCAGGAAATGTCAGAGTTTTAATAAACCTCTAAACAGCCCGTCACAACATGGCCTGCACTCATGGCATTTTGCTGGGTCATAATGAGAATTGTGTCAGTAAAGGTTAACCCAATCAAAATTAATGGTGAAACCAGCCAATGGGGAAATAGTGTTTGTGATCAAACCAGCGAGGTGGGAGGGTTGTGAATCCAAGACGATGCAACGGCCATTTAATTTCAGAAGCACCTTTTAGAGGTCTTCGGTATAATAGTTTTGATAACAGAGTTGTTTTCTTCTCGGCAGCCATACTGTTCACTGCATCTCCATCTCCACGTGTCTGCAAATCCCTACACATCTGGAAACATAGCCAGCCGGGACACCGCACCGGGGATCATTGTAGCATCAGGTAAGTGAGAGGGAATCACTTTAGAGTGACATGTTTCTCCTTTATCAGTCGCCTTGTTGTTCTGAAGTCTGAAGTAATGATATGATATATACTGATATTACTTGTATTGTTGTCTTTGACTAATAGAATGGAACCTCTGCCAGGTGCTTACAGTTTTCAACCCTTTGTCTTAGGAGGGGGCAGAGGTAGATTATCTAGCATGTGATTATCTAGCATGTGATTATCTAGCGTGTGAACCTTAATGGGTTTATGTGATTATGTGATTTGCAAATTCATGCTGGAATTTGGTGTCAGTGCAGTAATCTGGAGATTACTGCATTTCAATCAGCAGCGACAAGTCAGATAAAGAAAGATAATTGTCTTTGGTTCTTAGACCCATCAGGGAGATTTCTAATGGGGGGCCTGTTTGCCCTGATCAGAAGCTAGATACCCCCCTCCGTGGAGTCCAGACATGGTGGTGCCTGATGAGGCTGTTACAACGATGAGATGATGAAGTTTGGGCAAGACTATAGTCTTCCTGTCTAAAGCAACGCTAGAGCTTCATTTTCTGTGATTGGAGGATTTAGGATTCCCCAAATGGCCAGTAGCTTTAAAACTGAGCCCTTTACAGCCTCTTAAAGACAACAATGGATTCATTTAGCTCAACCTTCGGCTCTGAACATTTCAATGCCACGATGTTTCTAATACAGCACTGCAGCTCTGAATGTTGACAACCTGCACGTGTCACCTGACCAAAGGGGCAGATGTCAGAACCAAACAGTATAGAGCCTCCTGTTATGAGCTCAGGAACAATGAAGCTCTTTTGTTGTTCTTTCGAATACAGACGAGGAAGCAAATACTCAGTGGAGGGAAAACAAAGAAATGGAGGGACATAAGATCAGCAGCACCTTTGGGTGAATTCACACCTCAGTGATATTTACTCCTGCACGGACCGGCACTGTCAATAACACATCCGCGCACACCTCGGCTGTCTGGACCTTTGTGATACATTGTGAATGAAACATGTTTCAGGGATGTGAGATTTAAACAATTTACTGATTTAGTTTGAGGTCTTCCATTATTCACGCTATGAAATGGCAAAAACGGCAAAAACAGAAAGCGCTTGATGTAATCTGCTTTAATCACCTTGTAAGCTGCAGGTCCCGACTGACGAGACGCACAAAGAATTTAAACAAAAGCTGATGTATTTCGGACTAAGTATTCCCATTTGTCTGAGCAGTTGCTGCTTTTAAGTGCACATTTACAGGCCATAAAAAATAAATGGCTCGTTTGTAATTTCTTCACATCCACTGACAACACAAGCAAATAGCAAAAGGAGAACCGAGGCACAAAGGTAACATCGCACCCTCTGCAGGGGCTTTGAGAATTACACAACGTCCTAATGTCCTTCTCCTGCAGGTTAAGTGCTAAATCCTGCTTTGAATTGGCTCCACTCAGTATTTGGAAGTAGTGATAATAGCTAACATTTTTATTGCACACTCTTGGGTCAGAACTGGCAAAAATGTCCACCTGAAATAAAGGATGAACTGAAACATTTGGGTTTTTAAAGGCCAAAGATCACAGTAACCACGCAACATTTTTTTTTACCATAAATCAGGAATTCATATGCATATTTCAAACTAAGCCTAATATCAAAAAGACAACGCAGATGTAAACTGCATCTTGTAAATACGTGAAGAGTTAATACAGTTTGTCTTTGTAGACTAAAATAATGGAAGGCTGCGAATCACTCGCCTTTGGTGGGCTGCACACACACACTGAACATCTTCATCGACAGTTCTCATGAAGTGAGAACATCAGCAAGGTCCGCAAAATGGAGGTTCTATGCTGGTATTCACAAAATGTAGGGATTGTAAAGCTAGATATTTCAAGGGGACAACCAGGCCTCTGAAACACTTACACTACTTTACAGCGTTGCATTTAACCACCTGGCACCAATTACAGGCTAAATTAAACCAATTACAGCAGTGTGCAAAGCATTAGGAAAGCTTGTCTTAATGTGCTGAAAGACGAATACAGTAATCTGGATTTATTGGTTAATTCGGGGGTTTGGGTAAATGTCGCACCGCACAGTCGATCTTCTGGAGCTCTGTAATTACAGCTCCAGTCTGCAGCTGCAGGCTGGAGCCCCCCGCTTTATCACCGCTGCTGGTGGGGAGGCTTTTTATATAATTTGGGATTCATTTCATCTCGAATGGAATTTGTTGTGTCTACATTATGTCATTATGTCAAGCACTTACTGTTTGTCCTCTGCCTGTCTGCCGCGTTACTTCCAGGCTCCATCGGCTCAGAGCTGACAAGCAGCAACGTCAGCGTCTTCGTCGCCTCGGATGCAGGAAACACATGGAGACAGGTGAGGCTGCTTTTTCACTGTAATTATACTGATGGTACTGCCATATACTGCCATCCTCAATATGTACATAGTATTTACTACGAGGGGCATTGCACAAACATTGTTTTTTCGGCATGAATTCAGCATGAATTGTCATTTCTCTTCACCTTCCTCAAGCCGCAATCTAAACAACTTTGATTAACAATAACAGCCATGTTTGTTGCTTTAGTGCATAATGATATTTTTCGGGGAGTGGCTTTGGAGGGTGGCAGGAAGGGGCGGACTTGTCAGCGTTACAGCTACTTTCATTGGAGAACAGTTGGCAAGCGTTTTATTTGGGTAGGTGAATTCCTGCTGGTTTCTCAAATAAATCCAACCCCAGCTTTAATTCTACCCATCAGTCCGTTAGGCTCAATGTCATTTTTCCAATGACGCACAGCCTCTCACTACCAACTAAACTACATGGTACCACTACAAATATCCACCTCTTTTCTCGCTCCCTGATTCGATCATATAACTTCACCCTCATTAGTCACCCCCTGCCTGCAATGCCTATTACCTCACTGGATTTTGGCACCTTCAACTTTAGGCTTCTTATTACTTGATTTGCTTAAATTATAAATTGTTGGCGGTGTCGGATATGTAGACGTAAAAACAAGCTCCTGGAGAGTGAGTCCTTTCTTTTTCTTCTGTCCCCGCAGATCTTTAACGAGGAGTATGCATTGTTGTATCTCGACCAAGGAGGAGCCTTGGTTGCAATAAGACACACTCCGCTTCCCATCCGACACCTGTGGTGAGTCATTATGACGGAGACGCCATTCGTCACACCGTGACTAATTCCCTCAGAGGAAGCTCTGGGTCTTAAGTTAGTCAAACAAAGGCATATGAATCTGTCACGTAACCCGGGGAATGATCACATCGCAGTTAGAAACCCATCAACCACGGAGAAATCTGCTTTAGCAAATTTTATTCCATTTTTATTTCTCTGTTTGAAGCCATAATGAGTCTTGTCTGCTGATGTGTTCACTGAGCAGAGCGCCTCACTGGGGTTCATGAAAGCAAGTTGTTACAGTAGCCTCTGAGTCATTAGCTTGTTCTCACAGTCGGGGGGCCGGGTCAGCGCGCCTTGTGCAACATCTGTTTGCCTTCGCAGGTTGAGCTTTGACGAAGGACGCCAGTGGAACAAGTACAGCTTCACCAACACACCTCTGTTTGTAGACGGGGTACTGGGAGAGCCTGGGGAGGAGACTCTAATCATGACGTGAGTGACAAAGATTTGTCAACGTGAAACTTGATTAATCAATTACAAATAGCCTCTGTGTGTGTTTCTGTGTGTGTATGTATCCTCTCATCTGCCTTAACTCAAGCGTCGATATCTGAACTCGCTCAATTAAGCATTCCGGACTGCCAGCTTTCCTTTCAAGGTCTTCCCAACATCAAAACTGTCTGTCTCCAGATTATGATCACAGGAGATCATCGCTTTGGCAGCCAGCGATATCACGAAAGTCCATTTTGAAAAACATGAAGGAAAATGATAATAAAATGGCTGCGCAAACTGACAAAAAACTTTGGTCTAAACTTTTAACAGCATTAAAGAGCGGGAAGAGCAGTTTGTATCGTTTCATTCAGCGTGTCCTCAGACACTAGAATCATGAAGATTCCTCTGTTCTTTCACATTTATCAGTAGAATAGCCCAGAGCGGGACTGTGTGCATGTGGTAAGCACAGCGCTACTCCCACAGTGCAGCAGAGATTTAGGTCTTTGGGATGTGTCACGAAACGGTTTGAGCAGCTATTACATCAATGTTTCAAGACACCTGCCATAGATGAGAGACCGACGTTCGGCGCTGCAGGAGACTGATAGGGCGCAGCTGGAGGGAAGATGGAGAGAATAGGAAAATATACGGCAATAGTTTCGACGAGAACCAAATAGAGGCCGGAAAAGCAGATTTGGAAAGACTAGTCTTGCACAAAGAAGAAGTTCCACCCGCAAACACGCCATTAGTTTTCATAAAACCACAATGCACTTTTTTCTTCAATCAATTTGTTTTCATTTTTACAGTAAGTGCCTGTCATGGTCCGGGGCTTCGAGAGCTAATTGATGAATTGATTGTGATAAATAGGTTGGGGTATGAATGGTGAGAGGGGTCAGTGCAGGAAAGCACACCCACTCAATTTAGCAAGAGATGGAATATTTATCTGTCTCATAACCGTGGCGATTGTGTTTGATCGTTGAAACTAAAATGTGATGTTTATTATTTTTTAAAGGAATAAGGCAATTCTTTCGGAAAACAGCTCAAAATCAGTTGAAACATAATAAACAAAAGGGAAGCTGTTCAGATGACAGATCATTTTCCAGTTCCAGGTTGTGACTTGCACTTATATTTATCTATATATTCATTTAATGTTGCAATTGTGTTCGGGTGCAGTATGCCCCATTAAACCCCCCAGTCCTTGTCGGGGTCCTACAACTACTTACCTCCACTATGAGGTAAATAGGAAATATTTTGTATAATATATGTATGTATATGTTGTTGGCGACAAGTTATACAAATTAGTTCTTACCTAGACCGTAGTCCGTCTCTCCAGGAATCAAACAGTTTTTCTCCAGGCTGAGAGGGGTCAGCAACAATCTTTTTAGCTGCTTCAGGGTCCTGGAAGCGAACAAGTCCTGCAGGGACAGCAGATTGCAGCCGATCAGCCTCTCTGCAGAGCCGATGACGCGCTGCAGCCGGCCCTTGTCCTTGGCTGTGGCTGCAACGTAGCAGGAGGTGATGGAGGAGCAGAGGATGGATTCCATGATGGCCGTGTAGAAGTGCACCATCATCGGCAGGTTGAATTTCTTCAGCTGCCTCAGGAAGACCAACCTCTGCTGAGCCTTCTTGGTGATGGAGTTGATGTTCAGCTCCCACGCCCAGGAAACGGAAGGAAACCACAGCGGTGACGGGGGAGTCACACAGGGTGATGGGGGGAGATGGGACTGCGTTCTTCCTAAAATCTACAACCATCTCCACTGTCTTTTATTAGCTCCGTCTTTGGAGCGTTGAGCTCCAGGTTGTTCTGGCGGCACCACGACACCAGATGGTCAGACTCATCCCCACCAGAGATCAGTCCAATGAGGGTGGTGTCATCCGCAAACTTCAGGAGCTTGACGGACTGGTGACTGGAGGTGCAGCTGTTGGTGTACAGGGTGAAAAGCAGAGGGGAAAGAACGCAGCCTTGGGGGGAGCTGCCGCTGATGGTCCGAGAGGCTGAGACATGTTTCCCCAGCTTCACGTGCTGCTTCCTTTCGGACAGGAAGTCTGTGATGCACTTGCAGGTGGAGTCGGATACCTGCAGCAGAGACGCGATGATCGTGTTGAAAGCAGAGCTGAAGTCCACAACAAGATCCTGCCGTAGGTTCCTGGGGAGTTGAGATGCTGGAGGATGAAGTGGAGGGCCATGTTGACAGCATTGTCTACAAACCTGTTGGCTCTGTAGGCAAACTGCAGGGGGTCCAGGAGGGGGTCAGTGAGGGTCTTCAGGTGGGTCAGGACTAGCCGTTCAAAAGACTTCATGACTACAGAGGTCAGGGCGACGGGCCTGTAGTCATTGAGTCCTGTGATCCTGTGGAGCTGTGGGGGATGGAGTCAGGACATTGTCTATCAAATCTGCAGTAGAGCTCATTTAGCTCATCTGCCAGGCGGAGGTCATTCATGGAGTGGGGGGTTTTGGCTTGTAGTTTGTGAGGCGTTTAAGGCCTCTCCCAACCGAAGCAGAGTCACTTGCTGAGAACTGTTGTTGGAGTTTCTCAGAGTACAGTCGTTTAGCATCTCTCACCGCCTTGCTAAATCTGTATTTTGACTCTGTGTACAAGACTTTGTCCCCACTCCCATATGCCTCAAGTGTCAATAGAAACTTCCTTGAACCTCAGAGTGTAACCCCCCCGTCGCCGCCCCCCAGCAGTGGTTTGGTTTTGCGATGACTGCAGAAGATGAAACTTCGGAAAAGCCAAATGCCGACTGTATACACAACGTCACACAGGCGTAGGGGTTGTTTTCAACCACACGGAGAAGATGTTGTGGTCCATTTGTTGGGTTCTATCATTAGCAGTGGCCCAATGCACACGTTGTGCTCTAGTGAGTAGCTATAGCTGCAGGAGCGTGTATGTGGGATCCACTCATAAACCACAGCGGGTGTGTTCATGGTGGGGAAGGAACATGCCCGTCGCTACAACATTGTGGCTCACTGGCGTGCTGAATAACGAAAACCTAGGACCCAGCTTATTCTGTATATAGTACATTTGATTGGTCATTATGTATATATACATTTTATCTGTTTTGTATATGACAAGATTACATGGCTATTTTGCAGGATATTCGGCCATGTAAGTCATCGCTCAGAGTGGCAGCTGGTGAAAATAGACTTCAGGTCCATCTTCAATAGGAGGTGTACGGAGGCGGACTATCAGACGTGGCATCTACACAACCAGGTACAGTACATGCCAGCAAAGAGTTGTTTATCACACGCCTCAGTTGGTGGAGGAATCTAAACGTTTTAGCTCAGAATATATTTCCGCGCTAAACTGAGCTCTTGCTCGCAACTAATTCACTAGAAGTTTGACACGCATTAACCTACACAGGTTCTCCTTGGTGAAGTTCCCTCCACACTCCATTATATTACATTGCATGTCATTTAGCTTTTATCCAAACCAACTTACAATAAGTGTATTTCATAAAGATACAAACCCAGAAGATTAAGAAACAACATAGCACATTATAGCACACAACTACTGCAATTAACCCACAGCATTCTTAAATGATGGAGGTCTATTAAAATGCACAGGGTCTATTTTCATTCAGTGGTAGATGAGCAGAGTCAGCAGACACAAATATCACCTTTATTATTAGATCACTGATGAGATTCTGCTCCTCTATATCTATGAAAATATATTATCAAAGCAATAGAATCTTAATATATCAGTTGACCTCTATTTTATTGAAGTATTGACCCCATTCTTACGCTTATCCCTAGTAGAAATCCACTACTAACACATATAGCGTTGTGCTTTGTTCCATATAATAGACCATATTTATTTACCGATATCGGGGAACAAAGACTATTCTTCTGTTTCTACAGTGTTAAGCCTGGTTTATGCTTCTGCGTTTTCAGAGCAACGCAGACGAAAGACCCCCTTGCGTGTCCCTTGCGTCGCTTTTCACACCTCCTTGCGTCCTTGCGTGTGTCGCCCCATTTTTCTAGGCTTGCGTCCCGCAGAGCACAAGGCTGTGATTGGTCCGCTAACTAGGTCCTTTATGGAGTCTCACATTTACGCTTTCATAGCCTGAGACCGCCATTATTAAAACGAAGAATGTTTACGTGAGAACGGAGCAGATTTAAGAACTTTTGTCGGAAGAAATGCGTAAATATGACCGATATAAGCCGTCATTGGCGGCTTGTAGAAGCGGGTTGGATTCATGGAGGGAGATCGCCGCAAACGCCGGTTTGCCGGTCGAGAGCTGCACAAAGTTGTGGAGGAAAATACGGGACTGATGTGTCCGCGATGAAAAGCAGCAGTGGCAATGCATGGGGCATTAAAGGCTATGATAAACAAATAAATAAATAGACGTGACTCTCTAGGTCGTCTTCAACAAAAACACGTTACTCCACCTGTTGTTCTGGCGGTGAATTGCTCTGCAACACACGCAAGCCTTTTAGAAGCATGAATTGAAACGAGTGCGTCGACGCAACGACGCAGACACAGACGCAGAAGCATGCGCCAGCCTTTACACGTCCCCCACTATGCATAGTCAACCCGTTCTCATCACCAGCCCATCACATACTGGCACTTTGTCATGCTGCTAGGTGTCAGGAGCCCACTGTTTGTTTCTTCAAGGAAACTCAAAGGCTATTTTGCTACACATTGATTTTTGTCATTTACGTCAAATCCGTCAATAGTTGCATGACTCGATCTTTTGTCCTCTAAGCCACATGATTTATTACTTGAGTTGTTCGTCACATGGTGGTTATTAGGGCCAATTAGTCAGTAAACCATGATGGTTTCCTACACCCAAGTGGTTATGTTGTCTAAACCTTACCTTCTTGTAGTGAATGTGGCTCTATGGTGGAAGGGTTTCGTCCTCCAATCAGAGGCTCGTCAGTTCGATCCTCGACTCCACTAGTCCAATTTGATCTTTCCTTGGGATGGACCAAATTGCTTTTGCATGGATACCAGTGGTTAGTCCTGGACAGGTGGCCCCTTGCATGATAGCCCCCTACCATCAGTGTATAAATGGACTTGAATAAATTAATGATGATATGTAGTGGTAAATCGTCTTGAGAAGTTGGAAGACTAGAAAAAAGAAAAACAGATTTTAGATTGAGATGGACATCCGGCTGGAGCCTCAGGCCATGCCTGGCTGCATGGTGAGCGGACTAACCCTGAAAGTTTCCCGGTTCCCAGAGCACTTATGCAGATTTTCCTATTTTGTCTGCTGATGCTCCGGATGAACCGACACTTAGGCCCCAACTTACATTAAAACTTGCCCCAAACCCTCTCAACCTGGCTGGGCCTGAAGCTGAGCCAGAAAGCCTTCAGTTATGGTCTCATCCTATAATTGGTTGAGACACCCATATGCTCAGAGCAGGCTAATGATCAAAACATGTAGCAAGGAAGATGAGGAGGGTCCAGGCCAATTATAGGACTACCTGCCTGTAAGTAGTGCAGATTCTAGTCTGCTGCTAAAATAATCTCAACACGGCTTCAAAACAGTCTGTTTATTTTAAGTTGAGAAAATTTGCAGGAGTTGGCAGTCTATTTGAGGACATGGCCCGGTTTTTTAAACATCTCACTACTGACACCTAATGCACAAAGAAGGAAGGTTCTGGCCATGTGAACAAAGCACCAGTGTAGAACTGCAGTGAAACTGTGTGATTGTTTCTCCTCGCCTTTTTTGTGAGCCATCTGATTTTATATTCACTTCGCACGCATAGATTTAAGGCTAAAAATGGAGCATTCGTTCATGTCAATGTCCCCCCAAAAAAGAACTGAAGCAGCACAATCTCCAGTGTGACATCTGCAACGCAGAAACAGTTGCTGAGTTTAGAGCAGCATGATGCCGTGAATATTCGCTGAACAGTAATGCAAGGCAACCAAGCTTTTCACAAACACGCTTGGTTGCATTGTGTGAATTATTAATGGTGGCAAGTTACTCATTTTTTTAAACTCTCTCCTTCTGGTTTGCTCCTGAAATTGGGCGTGCAGGGTGAGCCGTGCCTCATGGGAGTGAAAAGAATCTACCGAAAGCTGAAGCCTACGTCCAGGTGCGTTATGGGAAAGACGTACTCTGTATCGATGACGTCGGGCCCCTGTGATTGTACAGAGGCTGATTTTGAATGGTAAGTATACTTTGTTTTCCTTCGTATCTTCAGTTCTATCTGGAATCCTTGTGTATTTTTGGGGAATCGTCAGGGTATATCGGCCTCACTTTTCTCCATTTTGACGGTTCTTTTTTCTTCTACTGCTTCACAGTAGCTGTCTAAAAAAAAAAAAAACAATGTGCAGGAAATGATGCAATACGCGTGCTGACGGATGTCACCTAAACAGCCTCTTTTTGTGAAGCGGCTTTTGAAGATTAAACTCAGCCTTTCTTTGGGTTCTCCCAACACCAACAGGAGCTAGCTCCTGTTTGTTACACTATATTTTCCTGATAAAATCAGCTCTGGATCCCCCCAGTTCAGATCGCCAATTGTAAGCAGCCACATGGCTGAATCATTGATTTTTCTGTGGCACAATAAAACTTTCCCATGTTTGAGAGAAGATGACATGAAGAGAACCGTTACCTAAGATGTGCACTCCTGCTGCTTTTTTGTTGTCAACTTGTACTAGTGGAAGATCATAAATATAATCTGTAAGAAAGGCCTCAATCCAAAAAGTGTATTGATTAAAAAACACAAATTCACCCACTAAATACCCAATGTCTAATCTTATGTCTATACAACTCGGACCTCTTCAAAGCTATTGTTCTTCAAAGTGTGTGTATTTGTCACTGGATAATAATAATTTCACCTGAATACAAATGCATACTCACAGATTGACTCTTTCCTTTATAAGTGTCGTTACAGATCATTCTTTTCCACATCCTCACAACCCGCTTTCTTTCTGGTGTTAATTCAATTACATTAGTGTTGATTTTATTTCGAGCTTTGGACACAAATCTGCGGGTCTCTGGAGTGAGGCAGCTCTCGGAATAAGCACCATAAAAAACATAAATCACCAAGCTAATTGCTTTCATTAACAATCCCAACACTTTTGCATCTGTGTGCATGTCGCACTAATTGGGGCAATCTGTCCCTCTCATTTTGGGGACACAGTGCTCTGCTTGGACATTTACAGGACAAAACAACTTGTGGGTTGTGTTTAAAAAGCAGAAGCACAGAATAGTCACTGTTACTTCTGAGGACAAACAGCATACATTTGACATGTATTTTTCCCCAGTGTGCAAGAAATAAAAAGTAGCTGATCTTTTTCAGCCTAAATTTCATATTTTTATTAGTTTTTGGTTAATATTTTTGTCAGAATTATTGTTTATTTTAATTAGAAGTACCTAAAATATTATTTTTCTCGTCTTTCAGTGCTTCCTCTGTGGTTTCTCGGTGGATAACTTTATTGCCCGCTCTGATCATTACAGTGATTATGGATACGAGAGAAGAACCAACGGAAAGTGCACCCCTGCCTTTTGGTTCCATCCATCAACGATGTCCAGGAGTTGCACCACAGGGATGACGTTCCTGAACAGCACCGGGTAAGCACACACCTTTGTGCTATCCAACATCAATCGCACACAATTTCTAGAATGAAAAGATTTTCTTAACTTGGAGAAATGACATTCAAAACTCATTCCAGAAGACGTCCCGTCGCTTATCTGGATGATCCACAAAACTCAGTCTATTTTCTTTCTTTTTACTTGTCACATGCGGCAAACAAATGAAGGGCATCGTTCTGCATCTTCTTCTGGGTTCATATAATGTAGATTCACAGTCTGTATTTAACTGCGCTGTTAGGCGCTGTTAGATATAGACAACAATCCATTTTTGTCTGTGGGTTTGTTTTTCAAGAACCAACATACATTATAAGAGTGTTTTAAATTTTGGTGGAGTTCTGAAACGTGACAGGTTCGGTACTGCTAAACGTTAGCAGTGAAGTTTCCTTCACTTTCTTGGAGCCAACGAGGAAAGGGCGGAAACGTACGGTGAACACACTCACCCTGAATGGGTACTTATTCACATCCAGCTGATGGAGGCCATGACTCCACCGACAGTGTCAGTCAGTATAGACTATGTGCTGCTGGTGAGGGAGCAGTACGAGTGAGAGGCCTACGAGCCGAGCGTGAGGGGATGGGGGGATTATTATTATTAAATACTAAATATTCTGTTGATGATGTTTTCAAGTAAAATTTTGTCTTGTCTCAACAATATTATCATAGTCATTTTTCTCCTCCAGCTACAGGAAAGTGGTCTCTAATAACTGCACGGCTGGAGTCAGTGTGCAGTACAAAGCCAAAAGGGAGCAGTGTCCTATCCAAGCCCCCAAAGGTCTCCACCTGGTCACCAAGGAGGGAACGCTGACAGCCACACTGGGCACCAACATCACCTTCCTGGTCTTTCTGGAGGAGGTAAGCTGTTTTCTTTTCAACATATACAGCAGTTAAGTACACCATTTAGAATGCAGTATTTCCTATAATCACATTGTCTCATCCATGTGACACATTCTGACACTGAAGGCACTTTGACAACATATAACAATAACAGTTTTTCATATAATGTTGCATTTCATCAATCATCCGTTCCATGAAGTTGTTTTAACTTCTTTTGTGCCAGACGTTGGATGTTCAGTTTCTCATCTTCTATGGCGAGAGGGTTGCGGTGTGGGGGTGCAAGGTACACGCAGACACGAGGAGAACAAACTCTGGGTGGATTAGAACCCAGGATCTTCTTGCTGTGAGCCTCGTTGTATGGGTAATACATTTTAAAATGTAAAACTGAGCTGATAATCCCGCTTATAAATATGTGTCCTTCTTGCACCACTGACCACGGATGTGTAGGAGAACTAGATACGAGGCCATCGCTCACTCTTGCTGCTGAAAAGAAATGAATAATCTCCTGTGGCCCATGGAGCGTTTCCCCCACAGGCCGCTATAATGACAGAGAGGTCTCTAACCCATTTGACGCGAAGGCTCCATCTGAAAACTGGATTTTTCTTTTGATTCATAAAAGCTTTTTTATTTGTAAAGCATCATTTTGCAGTTTTCATAATACCTGCAATTAGCTGCTCCCTCGCTTTCTGAAAGACCTTCATTCATAAACAATGAGACAGTAAAATTAGTCAGATGGAAATGGGATCCTATAACATGAGGCAAATGAAACACTACAAAATAGATAATTAAATATATCAGACTAAACATTTTTGGAACGTCCTGTTAGCCAAATTACAAATTCTACAATGGTCATGACCGTGCCTGACTGGTTAGGGTAAGAATATTAGTCAGAGCCAATATGAAGCAGACGAGATGGCTAATGCATCTGCGATAATGCAAAGAAAATATTTTCTTTATCGATTTCGCTCAGAAGACATTACACATTTTTATCAGCTAAGTTGTGAGATTCATTAAATATGGAAAGATGAAAGGAAGGTTTTTAACTGTGAAGCCCAGTTTAGACGTTATGTTGAGTGGGGCCTCTGCGAGAGGACAAAGTGCTCCGAGCAACGTAGCGCCTCACTTGGAACCCGAGTCCCTCGGTGGGAGATAACAGGCCGGAGCTGCACATTCCCTAAAAGCGTTTGCCTGTGCAGGGCGACGGGGCGAGGACAAGCATCACGCTGGACTTTGGAGACGGCCACGCTCTGACGTACTCCAATGTGAGCTCCATCGAGGACGGAATCAAACACATCTACAAGGCTGTGGGAATCTACCGGGTGACTGCAACCGGGGAGAACAGCCTCGGCTCAGAGAGCGCCACGCTCTACCTGCACGTAACATGTGAGACGTCGAGGGGCTTTTTGAGATTTGTATTCTAAATGTGCATATGTATTTATTTAGATGGGAAAATCTCCCATGTTTCCGCTCATGCTTCCGGCTCTTTCAGCTTTCCCCTTTAAAAAAAAAAAGAAATCAGTAGAATTGTCAGCTCGTGCACGGCGTTCCACATTCTGGGCTTCATCTCTTCACAGAACATGCTCGTCTTCCATAAGCACACAGACAAGTGAGATAGAACAAATCCCATTACACTTCCACTCAAGTCAGCTTATGCTTCACCGCCGCTCGGCCCACAGGAGCCGCGGCGGACTCTGCTGACCACCCCTGGTGTGTTCATGGGTGACAGATGTAACAGAGCTGACGTATTGATCCGCCAATCTGTCGATCCTACGTGCCGGCTGAACAAATAGAGTCAACTTAGGCTCAAGAGTGCGCCGAGTGAAAAATAACACACATATGGCAGGCAACAGTCCCAGTATAGAACTGTCCCCAACCCAAAACCCACATGTATTTGTCAAAGGAAAATAAAGCTGTTCCGTCCTTTTTTTATATATATTATATATGTGTGTGTGTGAGTAGGTCAGCTGGAGTACATCCATCTCTCGGCCCCCTTTGTGGCCGTGAGGAATAAGGAAGTGAACCTGACTGCTGTCCTGTGGCCCAGCCAAGTGGGAACAGTCACCTACATCTGGTGGATCGGAAACAGCACGGAGGTACACTCAACCCCTTTGCGCCGAAAAGCTTTTAATGCACCTTAGTAGGATCTTGATCCGCGTAGATCAATAAAAATGTGGGATGTGTGTCATTATATTCAAAAGGTGCAATGTCACATGTGAATATCAGATAGTAGATTATCATTTCACCTTTATTAGTGTCACACCAGCTTAAATCACAGTTCATTGTTATTGCAACATACATGTGTATATATATATATATATATATATATATATATATATATATATATACTGTGGGTGAGTGGGGAGCACGATCGTCCTCCAATCAGTGTCACGGTGTGGTTTTATTTTCTGTCTTATTTTGTAGTTTTCTGCTTCTTGTCTCCCTGGGTAACTTCACTTCCTGCCTTGTCCGGTCGTCCCCTGTGATTTTCTGATTGTTTCCACCTGTGTCCAATCACCTGCACCTCTCTAGTGTATTTAGGCGGTGTGTGTCTCCTGTCACTTGTCGCGTCATTGTCTATCGTGGATGTTTCTTGTCGATGTTTCTTGGTCCCTGCCTGTATTTTTGCCACGGTTCCTGTGTGCGTTTTTGCCCCTTGGCCTTTGCTTTTGCCTTTTGACTATTAAAGTCTTTTGTTTTCTAAAAAGTCTGCGTTTGAGTCCTGCCTTCCCCGCATCCCTGTCAATCAGAGGGTTGGCGGTTCGATCCCAGGCCTGGATAACCCGCATGTTGTTGTGTCCTTGGGCAAGACACTTAACCCAATATTGCTCCTGTAGCTGTGACTACAGTGTGTGAATGTTAGTGACTGATGGGCAGGTGTCACTGTGCGTGGTTCTCCTGTCATCAGTGTGTGAATGGGTGAATGATGCCGTTATAACGTCTATAACTAAAGTTATGCTCTTTTGTGAATGAGGTTGTCTATGTGTGTTCTGTTATTGTCATCTCTTCACGTACACATTGGTGCTGCCCGCTTTTTATTTTCAGTTTATGCTATCATCATTAGTCTATGTTAAAGGAAATGATAAACAAGCTTCAATATGACAATATTTCTATTCAAATTTGAATTTATCTGCGGTACAAATCATAGTCTTATATTGGGCAACAAATAGAGTTTGTACAGAAACTATAAGGGTTTCTGTTGAGTCAGGTCCAATATTTGGATCATCAGTGCGTCACCACAAATTGTGAGTGAAAAAACGCCATTACTCAAATGGCTATTTCAATTCTTCTGAAAATTGCTCACATTGTTTGAGAAAATATATATATATTTTTATCTGAATGAACCAACCCTAAAAATGTTTAAAAAAGGGATTTTCTACTACTTAAAAACAGAATATTCCGACAAGAACACAACTCTGCCTCCATCTCGCTGGTACAACAGGTGACCTGGAAGCCCTTAATTACAAATGGCACACTAACTAACTACTTGCCTATAGCGTGCACCTCGCCCAAACCCCCAGACTCTCACTCCTCTCTACCTGTCTTCCTCTTTGTCCCCCAGCAGCCAGTAATCACCCTAGAGGGTAGTGTGGCGTGCACGTTCCCCCGGGAAGGTGTGAGTACAGTCACTGTGCAGGTGTCTGCAGGGAATACTATTCTGCAGGACAGAAAACACATCGCCGTCCATGGTGAGCCAGCCCTGAGACTCAATCCGCACTGGTCTGTTCTGCACACACACGATATCTAATCACACCGATAGAATTTCATCAGTAGTGAAGGAGGATTGTTTCATAACAATATGGCTCTAATTCTTGTTCTTCATTGTTCCAAACATATCGGTTATATTCTAAGTAGCACCCTAAGCTTTAGGATAAAAGTTTCTTATGAATGGATTATGAGTATTACTTAATAAGTATTCTGTAAGTTTGACTGAGTTTGAGTTTTTGGTAAATGAGTGTTACACGAGACAAACTGACAACAACGCTGACAGTTTTACACACATAGTCAGCGTTGTGAATTTGAACTAAATTACTTGGTCAGGTTTAGTAAAAGGTTTAAATAAGTAACATTAAGTAATCTAACTTTCACACTGGACTCCTGGGTGAAGGTCCTGTATTTGTTTGACCTCTTTTCTACATAGACTTACGTCGCCTGACTTACTCCTCTGCTCCCGTCACAATTACTACCACCAGAGGTCAGAGTCATCTTCTTGCATTGGAATTGGTGATCAACCATGTGAACAGATGACAACGACCTTCTGAACCTACTAGAAGGTGTTTGAACTAGTCTATCACAGTGATAATTACAGATAACCCCCTTCCGAGCTGCTGATCACATTCAATACACCTTCCCACATCAGAGAGACACTGGCTGACATCACCAGAAGGTCTCGAGTTGGGACCAAAGAAAGCAGCTCAATAACCATCGGTTTAGATTTGCCTTTGCTCATCAGTTTCTCTTCCTATAGAGATGCAGATATTATATACACAGATATCTAAAACGGATAAATGATGGCTCGTGAACGCTGACCCTGATGGTCTGATCTCTCCTGGCTTTGCTATATCAGCGGTACTGCGGCCATTACATGGCATCTGAAACCAAACGATGATAATGAGGCTCTAGTAGCAATAACCCATCACCAGGTGACATATTCCCATGCACACGATCTCAAGGCTGAACTCTATGTATGAATTGACAGATGAGGAGTAAAAGCAGCTCACACACATTTTACCTGCTCACCCTTTCAGAATATTTCCGCTCTCATCTGCTTGCCTTTTCATCAAACCTGGACGACCACAACCCTGATGTTGCAGAATGGAGGCTGGATGTGAGCCGAGTCATCAAGAACGCTCTGATCCAGGTAAAGCTCTCTCAGGTCTTTTCATAGAAACTGGTAAATGCTGTCAGCGCTCGACTAGACCTCCGACGCGCTATTACTGCAGCGTGACCTCTCTCAGGCTTCGAGATATCGTTCGGACTGTTATGATGACAAATGACAAGGCAAGGAGGAGGAGAGGGGGAAATACAGTTGAAGAGCACGCTGATTGCAGTGGCTCGCACTCTGTGGGAGTTCAGGGTCCTGTGGCAACAAGGTTGTGGATGTTGAACAGGAGAATAAGTGTCAGGATGCGCCTAATGTGTTCTCCACTGACCTGAAAGGACGCTCAGAGTGGCCTGTCAAGTGTCAGACATGATTGTAACCCACACATTCCATGTCAGGTACACATTTCGCCTCATTAACTTAGTTTTTTTTCCCTGTGACTTGTTTCCTTGCAGCCAGCATTCTGGTCCTTGCATCATATTTTTTCACACTTTTTGATGCCGCAAAATCAAAATCGATGCCAGAAATAAACCTGGCTGTTCTGACTTCAGTGAACATGTCTGTTCTGTTATTTTTTACTGACATCATTTTTCCATGACATCCCCAGCCTGCAAGGTAGAACACACATCAAGAAAGAACAACTTCCAGTTTGAAAATATAACACGGCTCCTCACCACAGTCAGTGCAGTAAAACCATGTGAGCTGGAGCCTCCTGCAATGATCAGGGGCACATTTAGTAAATGACTTGTCATGGCAGAATGAGTTAAACATCAAGCTCCACAGTTCAGCTACGCGATGCAGCTAATGACTGAATATAATTGGTATTGTTTAAATGTGCTGATCTAGTCAAGTTCCAGCTATAGGGACACAGTTGCGGTTTGAACACGAGGTAAATGTTATAGATTAGAACAAAACATCATGGTCTGGCACATCGTTACAATCCTGTTGCCACATGGGACACTAACGGCACTCTCCTGGGCGATCTCAACCATGTGGACCTTCTCCTTGTGTGACGATGATCACAAAACTATTTGTGATTTGTCAAAAACAAAACCAGCAGGGCGGAAAATAGCTTTTGGCCAATGCAGTTATGATGCAAAGAAATATGAACTCCTCCGGTATCCACCTACAGCTTCTGGTCCGTAGGCGGATACCGAGATGATGAGCACACAGACACATAGACACGGCTCACGGCTCAGAGCGGCAAGATACTCAATATTAATGGCAAGATTTACATCAATTTACTGATCAAACAGAATGTGGTTAATCATTTTTTCCAAAGTAAAAATTAGTGAAACCCCGTTTCGTTTTTATTTTGTTAGGAGACATTTTAGTGTGCAGGTCATGAAACTATAAAAGTATGAAAACAAGATAAAACAATTCAACTCACGCTCCTCATTCTATTTATTTTTTTACTAGACATGTTTCAACAAATAATAAATGAGTATTTCATTCTTAAAGAGTGAATTGATTTTGTTTGAATCCAAAAGATGTACTGCTTTCCTAATATCTTTTTATGTATTATTAAACACAATGTCTTTTGTTTAATAATGCAAAATGAATCCAAAAGGATAAAATAATTCAAATGGATAAAAGATCTGGATCTCTGTTCTAATTTGAGAAATAAATGACACAAAACTGTCCACACAAATTAAAGTCCAAAATTAGCAAAAAGTCATTTAAATGAGTAAATATCTTGTGTAAAAAATCCAGTAAGGACAGACGTAAATCAGAAGAGTTTTTCACACCCTGCTGGACGAATGGATCCATCTTCTTCTTTTTGTATTCCTCTCCAGGCCACAGGAGTCGGAGAGGACCAGCTTCTGGTCACCCTCCTCCCAGGTCTCCCCACAGCAGCCGAGTTCTTTCTTCTCCCGGACAAGCTGCTAACTGAGGGGAAAGCGGAGAAGAGCTCTGCTCGTTTAGATCAGGTGAGCCTGCCGGTGGAAGGATTCCACCCCCCTGTCCTCGTTATAGTTCCTTTCTCTGTCTTAGTGAATCACGGGTTGATCCTTTTTCCCAGCAGCAGCTTTGCCAGTAATTGCTCCCTGAAATGCAACCCAGAGTTTAAAGTTCCTCCTTTCTCCACCTGGTGTCAGTATCTATCTGTTGAAGCATGTCCAGGTGTTTCACAGAGTCTAATTCCAGAATACGCCTGAGGAATCTCTGCAATAGAGTCATCTATAAACCTGACAAGTATTAGCAAGTTATCAAGGGGAACAGCTTTTAAGCTCCCTCAAGTCCCATCCTGTGGGTGTTTGGGAGTGTTTGGGGGAGCTGGCCAAAGTCCCGATCCCACAAGAGCCAGAAAAAGACATTGTCACGGTAGATTGGTTCACTAAATCACCGACCTATCAAGATGGACCAAATTAGCTCTGAGCCCGGCTAATAGATAATGACTGATTATGTCGTTGGATGTGCTCTCCGTGGGAAGAATACCACGGGCGTGTGTAGAGACGGAAACTGGGAAGGAAATCAATCTGATTTCCCTCCTCCCTCCGCGCTCACACCTGGAAGATCCTCTCTCCTCGATAAATCCTCACTCAAGGCTGGCATGTTGAAAGTGTAGAGAGCACACTGCTTATTAGAATGCAGAACGCATTTACTGACCCTGGTATGCAGTGGGAAAAAGTCATTAGTATAGTATAGCCTACATTTATACTTTAGAAATATAAAGGGGAGAATTAGGCACTACAGAAATGACTCATATGACTAGTAATTTGGTAAATGAGGCAGATGAGATACATTAAGCCTCGGCGGAGCAACAACTGGGATCAGTAGGGAGAAAATAATATTTAGTTTGCTTCATGTGGTCTCTATGCAGAGTTTAGAAAAGAAAGGATCCGTGGAATCGTGGAGGAATAGATTGAGGCGGTCGGTCAGCGCTAATCGGCCGTTCTCTGTCCGAAAGGTTACTTGGCAGCCTGGAACGAGCTCACGTGAGGCTTTGTCCATTCAGCAGCGCCGTGAAAAGGACCCACAGACTGAGACTCTTACATGAACAGGACACAGAAGGCTTGTTTCTCTCCTGCACATAGCACAGTTCAATACTACCTCCGTAATGTTCAGTGTCTAAAGTGCATCACAGGGGTCATTTGTATGCCATGATGTACCTCAGGCAGTGCTGCAGAAAAACCACCACACAATCAATTTAGCCCTATTTCCTGTGGTGCTTAATGTTGTCATAATTTGGGGGGTTTTCTCAGGCCAATTTGTCTTGAAGGGTTTTGGATGCAGCAAAACGGAAACACAATCCATACAGAAGTTATGCTGATTTATAGATCAGGAACTTTACACATGCAGTTTGCTAACTTGTTTTCCATATGTTGGTGACAAACTAAACCTGTACACTGCTTTATTCGGACTCAACTGAGTATCTCAGTACCCGGCGGGTTTTGGCTCGTGGGCCCTTGATATTACGATCTATGCAGCTCCCTCTGTTACCTTGAATTGAGCTGACAATATTTATTATCAGGATGTGCTTCTGTTAATTCGTCCACCGTCTGTGCCTGGCAATCATTCACCAACTGTGAAGGCAGGCATTTAAACTAGAGCACCTTCGGAAGTACCGTCAAGGACAAGTGATATCGGGGCTCAATTATTTTTCAGTCTGACATTAAAGAAGTATGATGAATCTGTGTATGATTGATCAGGACAACAAACCAATTGCTCTGAAATGTCAAAACAGAGTTATTAAATGACGACTTCAAACCGCAGCTCGATGGGACTGAGGTTTGATAATCTTGCCAATGACTTGACTACTCAATATTAACACTTTTTTTTCCTACAAAATGAAACTATTTTCTTTCTCCACAGCTCTCCGAGGTTCTGCTCAGCGCCTTAAATCAAAACCTTGTCCAGTTCACGTTGCGGCCGGGGGTGCAAGTCACCGTGTACGCAGCACACTTATCAGCAGGTAATCAAGCAGAATGTGTGTTTAGGGCGGCCCAGCCGGGCCTCATGGATCCCGTAGTAAGTAGGACAGAGGATTACGCATGCACACCATCAGGACACCTAAATACACTGGCCTATGGAAGCCAATTGGGGACCTGGTTAAAAGGACAATGTACACTTGAAAAGGAAAGTGTAATTTCACAAAAGCATTATAACGTTCTGCATGTTTGGGTTGGCGTGATGCAGAGGTAGAGATGGTGTGCTGGTAACCGCAAGGTTGACGCTTCGGGCCCCGGCTGCTCCATGTCCCATGTCGAAGTGTCCTTGAGCGAGACACCTAACCTCTAATTGCTCCCTCCCTTACATCAATGTATAAAGCCGTGGGTTAAAAATGCATTGTAAGTCGCTTTGGATAGAAGCGTCAGCTAAATGACTTGTAATGTAATGTAATGTTATTTGAGCAAAACCTTTCTAATTAAAACTATTATTATATTAGGACCATACAAAATTATTACAGTATTTGACATTTTTTCACTATTTAATTTTCAGCTTACAATTGAAATTGAATTGAATTGAATTGAAAACAAGGTAGCGTAGTTTTATGTTATTGAGAAAATCAAACGACATTGCACCCAGAACATATAAATACATATGTGGATGAGTATAATGTTGTTGTGGAATTACTTTTATATTTTTCAGGTTGACATTTTCATGTCCGTAGTTTACATCGAGTCCTTTACGGGCTTCCATATTGGACATATCATTATTTTTGCTGCCCCCGTCGACTAATATCCCTGTGTCTGATTGGCTCCCATCATGTAGCTACACAGAGACATTCAGAGAGGGAGCATCGTTACAATTATGTGTGCCTCTTCCTATTGGGGATGCTGCTACTGTCCTAAAGGGACTTATAGGATGAAGAGTAAGAGAAGTCCATAATACTGTATTTCAAAATCATTCATCAATGATTAAATAGTTCTAAATGATGCTGTTGACTGCTCATTGCATTGTTTAGCCAGTCGGAAATACCGGTTGTGTTGGTGCATTTCATTGCTGACACTCTGGCTCTTGTCTTCCTGTCTCTGCAGCGCCTCTAGTGGACACCAGCGAGAACCACAGTGGCTCTGCCATGCTAATGCTGCTATCAGTGGCCGTTGTAGGTTTAGCTGTATTTGTCATCTACAAATTCAAGAGGTAAAGAGTTCAAGAAATGTTGTGTGTGTATATTGGTCGCGCTGTACGTGCTAGCGAGACGGTGAAAGGTGTCATGGCGTCCCCGACAGCTCAGTAAGCTCAAGCTGCCTGTGAGGACGACAGCTGCCTGTCAAACACCTGCAACAGGCAAACCCAGTGCTCCTCAGTGGAGAGTTGGCTTTGGGAATCCCGTGGAGGCTCGTCTATCAGGTCATCCTTTGCAAAATAAATGTCAGTCAGGCCTCAGCCGCTATCAATAACAAGCCCTTTGAACGCGGCAAGTTGACCTTTCAGAAATGTTAGATAATTACGTAGTGTAGTTTCAAAGGAAAAGGGCATGAAGGATCATGAAGATGTACAGAGACAATGCAAAAAGTCAGCTTTTCAGACCTCATCGCATTTTGTACTTGTACAAACTGATTTACGTTCATGTGTGCTTCGTCATATGATCAAAAGTTCCAAACACGATGGGTGAATGAGAAACGTTGTGGGGTTGCAGAAGGCTCCTAGTTGTTGTGTCCTTGCTCCCTTTGTCTTAGTTAGGCGGCTGTCTATCCATTTGCCTCACTGTAAATCTTTCCTCAAGGAAGATCCCAGGCCTCAACGTCTATGCGCAGATGCAGAACGAAAAAGAACAAGAAATGATGAGTCCAGCTGATCCAACAGAGGGCACAGCCAGCTCACAGCGGGAGTTGGTGCATTCTTTGGAGGATCTGGACTCTGAGTTGAACTCCCGGCCCAGAGGTAGATATGCACACTGGTTAGAACCGTGTCCGTGCCTGGCATTTCCATTGGGGTTCCTCCATTGCTTGATTCACACCATTGTGTTTGTTGTTTCATAGGACTCATCGTGTGCTTTTTGTTGTGTGTTTCTCAGAAATGAAAGGGTCCGGTCATGTGGTGAACGACAACTAAGCACAAATGAGTATGATGATGAAAAACAGCTGCTTCTCATTGATCCCCTCAGTCCCTCTAATCACCTGAGGATACAGATGAGTGACAAATAAGTTGAAAAAAAGGGAAATACTTTGCTTCAAAGTCCCCCACTGGTCTACCGCTGGGTGGAGATCTGATGGTGTAAAAGTGATCAATCGTTTTCATATACATCGAAGCATTTAGTAAATCTGTTTGAGCTGTCAAAGGACACATTAGCATTTTATTCATCTGTGTCTCTGCTGATTTATTGAGGTCCTTCATATAATTTGTCACCCACCTGTATTATTCTCATATGAGGGTTGATTGTGTTGGCCTAACATCACGTTATAACCCCAACTCATTAATACATTTCTAAATACTTTTTTTCACGACAATATAGATTGTGGTATATTTCTGGAGCACTATGAATATGAAAATGTAGCACGTATTAACATTCTGAGAGCTAATGCTAATAAGAGATGGCTGGTAGATATCTCTCATAACGAAAACACAACTCCAACTGAAAACTACTGCTGATACTACTCATTGCTGCATGTCTCAACTGTTTGCTAACAGGTTTTCCTCGAATATTTCTGAAGTTGTTTGGCTGCACCCACGTGGCCAAAATCTATAAATTCATAAATGCATATTTAATATTTTGCGTATTAAATGTTGATTTAGCTAGTGTTACACACTATCCTCTGACTGACCGGTTTCCTTCTATCCCCAGGGTGTATGAAACCTCATGTACATGTGAAATTCTCCACAGAACTCCCCACGTACGTCGTCTAAGCTCTGCACTACCGCTGCATCATGGATATTCTTTTTTATCATTTGGGACATAATGGTTTTGAGCTTTATACCTGTGCATGTTGGACCTTGCTGACACATCTTGTGCTCTGTTCAACCCACAAGAAACTGGGTACAAGTTATCATTTCTTCAACATATGTGCCATAGTCCATACAATTTAGATTGCAGGGGGAACACCAGCATGATCTTAAGAAGGTAAAAATAGAATAAGCAACACTGTTTTGGTTTTGCTTCTTATTTCCGAGATTGGTTTTCATTTGTATGAAGCTAACAGCAGTAGTGTGTCATTGATTCATATGAATATACTTTCATGAAGTATGTTATCAAAGTGAATTAGACATTTATTTTGTAAATCATGAATGTCTGTTATAATTTTTGTGTACTTTATTAACAAGTGAACAACTAAACTAAACTAACTAAACAGATATGCTGTTATAAAATGTGAATAGGGTACTTAAAAGCTTTTTGTCCATTGTTTCATGGAAAGCTGATTAATGGCACAATACATACATTTTATACTGAAACGTTTCCTTTTTTTCAGGGTTTGAGTTATTAACAGAAATACCGGGTTTTTGTTTTCTGTATAAATATAACCTTTGATGTTAATCTAAAGCTTCTGGTACTACTCATGATTCATACCAATTTCTAAAATGTTTTGTGCTTTAGAACAAGTGACCACTCGATGGCTATGATGCTACTCTGCACCTTCAGGCTGCGACTGATCACATACTAGTATTAAACCATTCAGGAGAAAGAGGACGAAACAGGAGTAATGGGAGAAAAGTGTTCCAAAATGGTCCGCAGCAACCCCCCCCCCCCCCCCCCCTACTCCACCCCTCCCCCGATCAAAGCCAACATCAAGGCACAGTAGAATGAGAGAGACGTAAGAGCGTAAAGAGCTGGAAGAGAGCTTATTGGCTTATTGGATGGAATAAAAAGAGGAATAAAAAAAGGCTGCGTCCTTGAATATGTAATGTGTCCAGCTGAGCTCCAGGCCGGTCAAGGTTGGTGACACATTTAGGCTAATGTCCCGACCCGCTCTCGAGCAGCAGCCATCTTCACCCCAGCTCATTAAATCCCAGTGTAGAAGCAGGAGAACTAGAGCGCAGATGCTACCATGCTACACAGAAGGTTCACTCGTTCAGAGGATGGAAGTAACTGGCCGATTAAAGCCTTTTTTGAATTCTCATAGGCAACCTCTCCACTGTAGTTGCCTCTCTTTGGAGATGTGGATACACAGACGGGGGGGGAGTTGTCAACCATCGATGCTCTTTCCTACAAGTGTTGAGTTGTGGTTGTAGAGACATTTCCACAGTAGAGATACCCACAACACAATCAGCAGAATGTAACTGGGGTCTTTATGGAGCACTAATGTAAAGACACTTGCAGCACACACTGGCAGCGTTTCCTCTACTGAACACAATGCCAAGGGAAGAGAAGGACACAGCAAATGAATTTCGATGGATGCAAGTGCATCACCCCATGAGATGTAAGGGGATGCAGGGGAGGACGGACTTCTCAGTGATGAAATAATATTAAGGGTGGCAAGTTGAAAAAGAAATCCAATGAGGATGTTCCCTGGTCGCTCTACAGTGGAAATACTTATTGTTATAAATCCTGGAATGATTCCTTAGATAGACTTTAACACTACCAGTTCAAACAAATATGAAGTAAAGGTTCTCATATGAAGTCACGTAAATTGCTGAGTGGAATGTTGCTTACTGTACTAAATTGGACTACAAACCAGGCAAAGTGGGCCATGACGTTGGGAGCTCGAAGGCTCCATCTTCATTTTGAATAAATTCATTAACTAAACCAAATAATTTGGGTTAGGGTCTATTTATTTCAATGAGTTTTTCAATAATGTATATCAGTGATATTCATTATCATTATTATTCGTTAACAAGATAATAACAAGAAAAGAAGCTCGTGCTCTTGACGTCTGCCATGTTTCTACAGTTCAGTCCACAGAGCCAGATGAGGGGGGTGGAGGGGGGGGACCCGGCTCTTAAAGCCCCACTGCTGAACAAAGCGCCATTGCTTGTCTGCCAATGTTTAGTGATAGTGACGGGTCGAGTCATCTCCAGTGCTGCTCTCCTTTGGGTCCCCAGCAACACACTAAGTGTGAAGGAGATCAGATGAATGGTTCCCAAGACGCACACTCACCAACACTACAAACACACAGATGCACACTCATAGTCCTCACTTTGTTATATTGTAGAGAACTGAAAAGCATTTGACGATTAGCTCCTCCTCACATTTGTTAAGTCATTTTTGTAGTTGAGTTTTTGTTTTTCATGAAGTTTTTGTATAAGAACATTAAGTTGAACCTTCTCAATTTCTGTCTGTTGTGACTCACTGAGTACTTTTGAGTCTGCGTGGCCGTGGACAGCACCGTTGTCCTATTGTCGACAGCATGCTTTCATTTCAGAGGTTAGCACTTTCTCCACGAGGTGAGGTAAATCTCTCTAAGCTTTTATATTTCAAAGCTGCATGCTGAGAGGATTTCGGTAACAACTCTGTCTTCCAACTTCATTTCCATTGTAGCTACATGTGTTCCACCAAGTTGAAGGACAGACTTTGCACTCAGCTATGAAGTGATCTACTGGTTCCATTGCATGGCGGGTCATATTACATACTGGAAGTGATTGAGAATCAGCTGAAAAATGATGGATTCAGGATGGTAGTATTACAATAGTAATTAGATTTTCTATGATTAGAGTAATTAGGGCATTTTTTCAAGCTTTGCAAAGTAGGAATTTAAGGTATTGGATATCTAGTTCAAAGAGGAGGTTCTGGCATCGATTTTAACAGCTGGAGGGAGACATGTAGTTGCCTAAAACCTCCGACCTAAGGAACCCAAAATGTCATTGGCCAGAGCGATCAGGGGATTGGGGATGATACGAGCCCCCCTCTGCCTGTTCTTTTCACGGGGGAAGTACAGTCCTGCTAAGCTCCTGGCTGGTGGGAGCTGTGATGTGACGGCACCTGAGGGTGAAGCTCAATGGAGTTGTGGACTGGCTTTGATCGACTCTTTTTTCCCTCTCCTTCCCTCAGTCTTTCTCCCTAACTCCTTCCTCCTGCAGAATTAGCAAGATTATTATTTTTTTAGACAAATATTTATAAAATATAAAAAAAAGAGTTTTATTACTGTACAGCTTTTGTATAAGAACAGGCGGTGAGGTGTTGCAGTGTTTTTTTTTGACCTCAACTGTGCTTTGTGTAATTGTTTCATGCATTTATAATCATATTTATTAAATGGAAAGACGTCTGTTAACTGTGTTCTCATTTTCTTACAATATTTGTAAAGAAATACAAAGAAATGTATTTGATGAAGTACTATTCAACGTATAAAGAAAACAAAACAAGTATGTGTTGGTATTTTATTATATATTATGACTTTTTTCACATACAATTTGAACTAAAAGATACTTTTTTCAATTTTCCAATCACATTTACACGTTTCATTTTACTGACACTTTTATCGAAACCGATTCATAATAAATGATTTCGACCAAGATGCTACCCAGAACAACACAGATTAAGAAAGTACAATTTCTTCAAGAAAGCCAAACTACAAAGGGATGTATAAGGCCACGTTCTGCGTAGACTGGACCTGATTTGTGCGCAAATACCAATGTTTTGAAAGGGAGGTTGGCAGCCACTGGTAACAAGTGATGGGAGAGAACTGGTACCCAATAAAGGGAGCGGACTGTAACCAGTGAGAGGAGCGGACTGGGACCCAGTGAAGGGAGCGGACTGTAACCAGTGAGAGGAGCGGACTGGGACCCAGTGAAGGGAACAGACTAACCAGTGAGAGGACTGTAACCAGTGAGAGGAGCGGACTGGGACCCAGTGAAGGGAACAGACTATCCAGTGAGAGGAGCAGACTGGGACCCAGTGAAGGGAGCGGACTGTAACCAGTGAGAGGAGCGGACTGGGATCCAGTGAAGGGAGCGGACTGTAACCAGTGAGAGGACTGTAACCAGTGAGAGGAGCGGACTGGGACCCAGTGAAGGGAGTGGGATAGTGTGGGTGGATGCGGCTCTTTGCAGCTGTGCATTAAGTAATTAAATTGAGTTTCCACTTTGCCAGTTGCAACATCACAGGGATGAATATAGTCCAAGAGAGAATACATTAGTATCATGAAATGGTCTCTTCTACTAAATTAATCATTCTACTTTTGGAAGCCTCATTATGGGGATGCTTACACTCATACTTTTACTGGGGTATCATGAAGGGGGTTTCTTTAACAGTATTAACCGTGTTCTACACTTTGGGAATTCTACCTTGATAGATATATAATACTTCTGCCAACCATGTATGTTATTATTAAAATAATAATTGAATTGTTTCTTTCATACATAATATACAGATACACTTCATGCTCTCTCCTGCATGGACTGATACGTGCACCTGCCTCTGTGTCTGTGTGTTATTCTCTTTCTACTGGGACTGTCAGATAGTTTTCAGAGATCTTTCCATTATTCCAAGGACCAACACTTTTCTTACAGAACACCTAAAGGAGTTTGGAACAGTACCCCAACATTGCGCTTGAGTCATGTGAAAACCCTTGTTTGTAATAACAACTACCGCTTAATGATAAGTGCTCCTTGAAACATTGTTCGGACACCGTTATAAGACGACTGACCATCGACCACAACACAACTGAAATGAGAACTGTCGACAGAACACTTCATGAACAGATTCAGAGGTTTTGGGCTTTCCGGCTGCCCCAAAGCTAGAGAGAAGAGAATCCAAATCAACACTGCAACTTTATTTCACATTTGGAATCCAGGAGCTGAATCTCTGTTGTTGGTATATTTCCATAGAATTAACAGCTCCATGACCTCTGTGTGTGTGTAATGAAAATGTAACCCTCGCTGCTTAACTCAGTTAAGTTGGATCCTTAAAATGATCCCCGTGCTTGAATATTACTGAAGCTTTGTAAAATAAAATCCACAAAAAGTTTGAATGTTTGCAAAAAGCACTCAGGCATGTTTTAGCAGCTATTCTAGTATATTATTTAAATTATTCATAGAGAAGTTACTTGGGAGAAACATAAGTAATAACAACAGTAATATTACTGAACGACAGAAAAAAAGCTTCCCTCCTCTGCCGAAGGTAGTCTGGACCACTTTGTTGGGCATAAAGGATATTCTTATAAATACAGATGAGTAACAGAGCGTGAGTCATTAAAGATGAAGATTTTAATTTTGGCCTAGAAATAACCTTAACTAGTCTCAGTGTAGAATATAATGAGGCTGAAGTGAGTTATGGTGCATAAAGAGTAGAAGTAATTATAGCAGACTCTTCTACGCTTCTTTATGTGTTGCCTAAAATAGCTGTGGTTGTGGTCGGAGCAGCAGATAATGATGATGGCCACGGCTAACAGAGACTGCTCATCTCACTGAGTTGTATCATTTCCGTTGGTGTACAGTCATCAGTTTAACTGGGGAAGGGACAAGATTACCAAGAGATCGATTCCATAACCGGCTGGTTCTCCTGACATATTGAGGTACCGTGCCGTAGTGTCACCATGCGCCATGACAGGCTGATATCAGGGTGGATTTAATGTGAAGGAGAGTCACACGGAGTCGAGAATACGCTTCTGGGGGAGGCAAATAACAGAAGAATAATAATCCCCCATTACGGCTAAATTAGAGCTGCCGAGGCTAGATTAAGACAGCAACAGAGAACAAACGAGGATTGAGATATTTGATACCTCATGGAGCTGGTTTCTTGTAACAGCAGGTTTATTTCACACCTGCATATGGAAGAAGGAAACAGTAGAGTAAATGGCATCATCAATTCTGATCAGTTCTGATTACTATTGATATATATTTTTTAATAGTGTTATCATCATAGTGTTTAATTAAGGGACTTGTTACTATAAAAAGAACATTAAAAACAGTATGATTTTGCTTTTTTGCAGTATCGATACTTCCTTAAAATAGCGTGCAATCAGAGCGCTCTCACTGCTGTGCTGCATGCTGCCTGACCCATGGCTGCCAGCGCGTGATTGCAGAGGAGATGTGGCCTCAGGTCCGCGAGCTCTTACAGTCCATCTTCAAAAAAAATACAAGTGAAATGTGAAAGTAGTTTGGCTAAATTACATGTAGCCATGTGCTGTGTGGCACCATGTCGTTTTCATTAATATACTGCTGTAGGCTAATACTGATAGTAATGCCATTTATTATATCTTCAAAAAGCTGGGCAGGAACCAGATGTTGAAAAAGCAAACAGTTCAACAATTGAGTGTCAAATGTGAGTATTGAGTAAAGAAAGAGGGTATCAACATAATTCACATAAATAAACATAATTCATTTTGCAAATAAACAGAATTGGGTATTCTAATTTTTTATTCCACCACATTGGTTCATCAAGCCCCCAACTCACCTGCATTCACCTGGAATACCATCTCAGTAATAGTTGTGTGTTCAATAGATACTCACCTTATTCACCACCAACCTTGTTCAGTCTACGTTTGGGTTCAAAACCGGGGAAGCTGTTTACGCCAGTGTTTGTCATTTCTCAACAAATCTGGAAATCTATATTGACAATGATTTGTGTTTGGACTGCTCATAAGCTTATAGTGTTACATATGATGTTATTAATCCCAAAATGCATTTACAGGAGATATAAAATATCTCCACATTATTGAACATCAATTATGAGACATGATTCAAAGTTGGGTTTTTTGTTCCTGGTCTTCAGGCCTTTATTTTATTTTTTTGGTGAATTAACATATTGATAATTCCATTGATGACAATGATTTCATTTTGATCTGGTTAATAACCATTGAACTGCCCAATACTAATGAGTAGTCAGAAAATAATACTTAAGTCAGAAGTTACTTCACGTAACGTTCTCCAAAACTTTTTCCGCGGGGAAAAGTTAAGTTGTTTAAATTCATTTTTCTTGAGATGTTATTCAATTGAACTTGGCATGGCCATGAAACAAAGATTGAGTAGACATCTACAGCTTATAATAACTACTGTCTCTTTCCCAATGTATTTCTTGGAGAATCACCAAAAGTTCATGAGCTTTATGAGGACCAGCACATTGCTGGAATTTGACTATTAATTGTCTGCTAAAGAAAGATTTCAAAGGGCAGAAGGAGGACAGTTTGTTTCTGTAACCACAAGGTTCTGTGAATGTGTGCGTTGTGTGTCATTTCTGTTTTTGAAGCTTGAGTGTGTACTCTTGTATGCCTATTCACAGTGTTTCCCATACCAGTATAATGCGGAACTATATATCTTCGTAACTACTTTGTCTATATGGACGTTTTTTTCTGCCACAATAAAGGGGAGTGTTCAAATGTGTATAAGTGTTATTCATATGTTACTGGTGAAGAGATAAAGCAATATGACAGACAAAAAAAGCATTTTGAGAATCGCCCTATAAGCGCTATAAGACATACTAAACTAAACTACATCTGCTTGGTGGTTATTTAGTTCTTTGTTAAGGTTTGTTTGAGAGAAATGAAACGGATATCACTCGATTGAACAATATCCAGGCAGTGATTCTGCGACTTGTTTTCTTTGTTAGCTCCGATGAAAAAAATGTACATAAGCACTGCCGCGTGCAAATCTTGCGGACTAATTTGTACAACATATTTTATAACTTATTACGGTTGTGTTTGGAGCAGTTTTAAACAGATCAGTGGAGCTTTTAGCCTTCATATACTTGATGAGTTGATGAGTAAATTATATTCCAGTTTAACGTTGTTTCTGGGTCGGTTATGGCTCAGTTCCAGACAAATATTTGGTGATGCTCAGGTTGAAAAGTCTTCAAGCCATTGCTGGATAACATCACTAAAGCAAATCTAATAGAAGCTCTGGTCAGTGCTGACCTATTGCAGAGCTTTTGTTCACGCTAATCATTCATTGTGAATCGCAGATCGTAATCACTTAACCTCCAATGTCGTCTTGCTCCTTGCTATGCTTCATCTCTTAGCAGCATGTGCCATCATTAATCATTTGTTTCCAATTCCATTCACACACCAAAGACTACCTTAACACTTTAACACCACATATAATCTGTTAATAATAAACAATAATTTTATCTCATAATTGAAATGTGTGCGTATGTTTTCAGGCTTTACTGAGGTTTGTATAAGCCAGAATAAGTGCTAATCAAAGTAACCAAATCACATTTGATTACTTTAGTTTTTCTAATAGTTTTATGTCCTAAATTTGACATTCAGATCATGCATTCATCATCATACTGCTGGTGTCAATGAGATGAGAGAGAATGAAGTCTCTCTCCTGTGAGTGCTCATCAGAGCGTCTGCTTGTTTTACTCACAAATGCACAGGATTTAAGTACATGTGAACACATGTTTTAATGTGAGCGTGCCCCACAGGT